GGAAAATCAAGTGGGATAGAATTTCACAGAAATTTTTTTAAAATATGTGAGAGATTCAAGATAATCTTGAAATAGTTATAATTTAAATATAATTCCAACTTCTACTTGGTTCTCAATATTTATACTATTTAATATTTTATTTAAATTTAAAATAATATTTTCTTAAATATTTCGAAGATATTATTTTGAATATAAAAGATTTACTCTTAATTGAAAACTTTTGATAATTCTTAATTAAATCCGCAGTTTATTTAACTCATAATTCAATGTCTAAAAATATACTTTAAATAATCTTAAAGTTACAAAAGTATTTCAATTAAATATTTTTAACAATGAGCAGCTTTAAAACAGCTTTTAAAAATACCATTATAAAATGATAAATATAGTAATTTAAATATTACCTTAGGAACTATTACCTCTCGTTGAATAAACATTTATTTTTTTAGTTTAACATATAACATTTATTTAAGTTGATCAACCAAACTGTTTACTATTAAACGTTGTTTACAATGAGAAGCAGGTGACGTGGTAACATAATAGGAAATGTTAATAACAGTTTTTATGATATGTAAACAACAAAGAAGTGTTTACAATTAAGGATTTAAGAGAAATGTGTCGTCATCTTGTCCAAAGGTCACCGGGATGCCTTTTCCTGAGTCGCTTCCAGATCGTCGTGTTAGCCAAAGATGCTGATTGCTGGCTCTTATCAGCTGCGAGGCATTCATTTCAACTTGGCTGTTAATTAACTTGCTTATATTAACTTGGCTGTTAATTAACTTGCTCCCTGCTTGCATCCTCTATCTCACTCTCAGGCTAGCTCCCTCCCTCCCTAGCTCTTTAGGTATGTCTAGCTCCCTCTGTGCATCTCTCGATCCCTTACTCTCTAACATTCTCAGCCTAGCTTAACAGATATCTGTTTGCCTCTCGCTCTCACTCTCTCTGTTATTCTCTTTGCTCGGAGAGTATAAATACGAGGCGCTTCGGCCGGCGCGCCCTTAGTCTGTTCGTGGCCCTACAAGTGTTAACATCGCAGTGATCGTGAGTGCTCTTCGACCCGAAATATCAGCCGGCCGAAGCAATACATTTGGATGACGTGGCCGAAGTAATGACGAAGGATGACGTGGAATACATTTGGATGAAAGGTAATAGTGGTGATAGTAATTAGGATTACCCTTCGACATCAACAATATGCCAACTATGGATTTGTTTTCCACTTAACTCCCTTATTGCCATGGAGCCCTTTACTTTATTATAATTCAAGGTGATACAGCAATTTGTATTAAAGATGTCCATAAATGTATATTAAAACTTTTGTTACAATATTAATGGGATAATCATTTCAGTCTGAACTTAAAACTATGTAAAGGAGTCCTTTCCGACCCTATAAATTATACATATTCTTGATCAGAATGAACTGGAGAATCTTTCTAGCTATCGGGTGCAAAAAAAAAAATTTTCAAAAATTTTCGATATTTTTTCTTCAAAAAAAAAAAGGGGTTACATCGTTAAAATTGTCAAAAAATTAATATTTTTTAAATTTTGAATTGAGTATACAGATTAAATAACCTAATAAAAACTAGCATAAAACTGTTTCCCGAATTAAAATTAATGGCTTTTTGGCTTAGTTATAAGATTTTTAAAATTTGATTTGTGGTAAAATTTTCATATAAAAATATCTATAAAAATCAATTGATTGAATGGTATTCTAATTTAAGTCAGAAGCTTGTAATACATTGAAGAACTCATTTCCGACCCTATAAATCATATATATTCTTGATCAGCATCGACAGGCAAATCTTTCTAGCCATCTCTGGCAAAACAAAAAAATGTTTTCAAAAATTTTCAATTTTTTCAAAAAGAGGAAAGGGGTTACATCGTTAAAATTGTCAAAAAAAATTGGCAAAAATTGCTATTTTTTAAATATAAAAATTCAATACGCAGATGTGTTTAGCTTTCAAAAACTAACATAGCAAATCTTACCAAATTTAATTAAATGCATTTTTGGCTTAGTTATGATATTTGAAAAACTTGAATTACCCAAAAAATTAGCATGTAAAAATATATTTTTAATATACTTATAACATACATATTGTAGGTTTTCTGATAGGTATACAAAGGTCAAAAAGCCAATGATTGCCAATAAAAACCTTAATGAATAATAAATAAGACATTTGAAACAAAATAATGCTTCCTTTCTTATTCGTTGAATAAACAAAACCTATTTAATAGAACTTATATTAAAGACTTGCTAACTTTAACCTTTCTGCCCTTTTCCCCTTTTAAAAAAAACATACCCTTCCTTTTTAAGAAAATTGCTTAGATTTCTTGTTGTGGAATCCCCAACGATTCACCTTGATTGCAATTGTATTCTTGACCCTAAATGTACAGCTATTCCCACCTTGGCCAATTGCGGTTTGATTCACGCCCTTTGTGCTCTGCTATTTGTTGCTCCTCTCTGTTTGCTGTCTTCCAATTCTGTTTTGGTTTTGTTTCGATTTTGTTTTGTTTTTTGTTTCTGCCAAAGTTTGCCCTCGTCCGAGATTCACCTGTCCCGAAGAAGAGCAGGTGTCCATTGCCAACGCCGTGCATCCGAAATGCGCAACACATTGGCTGGCAGCGCTTCAATTGCACTTGAACTGAATTTTCCGCCTTTTGTTTTTTGTTCCCAAGCGTTTTTCTAAGCGCCACTTGACGGCCTTTTGACCGCCTTCTGCCTGGAAGGGAGGGGGTGTGGGTTTGGAGGAAAAACCAAGGGTAAGCCAGGCACAGAGAATGAACAACAAGCCTTAAAATATGCAGTGCACGACACACTAGGCGTTGTCCTTGTTGTCCTGGCGAGAGCGCGTCCTTAATTGCCACACCTTCGGATGTTTGCCGCCTTCTGGCAATAGGCTTTTCTTTTTCTACTATTTTCTATTTTCTGTGTGTTTTAGCATACTCTTAAAACAGTCTTGGGGATTTTACTAGGGATTTTAGATACATTTCTTAAGGTTTTGAGATATTTTTTGGAAGCTTTTTTAAGTGAAAAAAGACCTTAAAAAATATATAATAATTTTAATACAAATATTAACAAAGTAATAAATAATTCCATAGAGATCTTGTATACTTAAGACCCTTAGGAATGTGTATCTAAAAAACTATCTGAAAAAATATAAAGTTTTCTTCTCATCATTGTAATTAAGAAAGACTCCTTTTCTATTTCCTCTCCTAAGAAATTCCCCCAGCTTTTCGTTCCACTCCAATAGACTCTATTACCTTGAAGACTCATACCTTCAAGGCCATTAATTTTTCACTTCCCTTATTCAGCTGAAAAAGACCCTAATTGTTGGGGGTGAAAATCGAAATGAAAACTAAACAAATTCCATGCTTCTGTGCATTTCAATCAAAGCGAATCGGAACTTCAATCGACGATGACAAAGTTGATGATGAAATGAGGGGGGTAGATGATGGTGCCTAAGAGGCTTAGTCTGTGCCACACACACACGCACACCATACACACACCAAAGCAGCCACACACCCATTCAGTTTTTGGCATTTTGGCAAAAGCGATTAATTTCGAGTAATTGCAACTTAATGAAAAGCATTCAATTGTGCAAATTAATGAGAATGTCTTCGGCATTCTGATTACCAGACCAAAGACATGTGTGTCTGTATTTATGGGTGTGTGTGTCTGTGTGTGTGTGTGTATTTTAGTGCCTGTTAATTAATGCTTTGATGAGCCGCACTCAACCACTTTACCTGAGCAAGAGGCCAGAATGGAACTCCTTAGCCGCTCGCAATTCAAACTCCAAATGAGTTTCAGCCGCTGCTGCTGCGGCACTTGCGGATTTCCTATCCCTCTCTATTACTCTATCCCTCTCTCTCACTCACTGTCTCCCTCTCTCTCTCTCTGGGAATTATAAGCGATTGCCTTTGGCCATTGAGGCGGAATACCAAATCGGTTTATATCGTATCTATTTGCCTATTTTGGCAGAAAATTAAGTCAATGAATATCGAATGAGATGAATGTAGCCAAGTGGCTTTTGGTTTAAACATAAATATTGGTGAGCCAATATGAAGGGAATTTATTATAGAAAGATATATAAATATATAAAATATTATAATAATATTTTCCTATATTATTAAGGATCGTTTGTATGGAAGCTATGTGATATATAGAAGTCCGATTTACATACAATTTTACTAAAAATTTTAGATAAATATATAATGGTTGTATATCAAATTTGATGAAAATCTGTTGAAAATTAGAAAAGTTATAGTTTTTTCTTCTTAACATTTTCCGATTGTTCCTATAGCAGCTATACTATATATGTATATATATAGTCCACCGATTCCCCATGCTCTAATTTATATACTAGTAAAATTATATAAAAGAATAACTTCATAGTTTCATTAAAATAGCTTAAATTTGTTCCGAAACAAATCTCGCGCATCTGTGCTTATGATTCCCAACTTGTTCTAACATCCCCGGAACGAAGTGACTGCTGCCAGCCAAGTCTTAGAAATGTGTTGCATTACAAAAGTTGCAAGTCACTGTTTATTAGTGTTCAAAGTTAGTAAGTGATCAAACATACATACTTACTGGTCATAGATACTTACTGATCATAGTTAGATAATGTTCACTGATACTTACTGATCATAATTACTTACTGATCATAGTTAATTACTCATCATAGTTACTTAGTGATCATAGTTACTTATTGTTCATAGTTACTTACTGCTCATAAATAATTACTGATCATAGTTACTTACTGGTCTTAGATACTTACTGTTCAGACTTACTTACTGATCATAGATACCTACTGATCATAGTTAATATATATAAACTTGATATGAAAAGGTAGACCAAGTGAAAGTGATAACAAAATATACCAAAAATAATAAATAATAATAAAAATAACAGAAAAATTATAAGCAATTCCCTCTTCTCTATCTCATTCTCAGCCTGAGGAGTGATCAATTCATTTGCTTTGTAAATCAATCGATTGATTGATTTATTGACTCACTGATCGATCTGTGGAAGCAGGAAAGGCACAGCGAAACAGCGACCAAATGCAAGATGAATCCGGATCAATCGATGTCAATGCAAACTGGGGCGCAACCACCGCCGCCGCCGCCCTCGCAGCTGACCAGCCATGCCATGGCCATGGCCACCGTCACGCCCACATCCTGTCCAGGATCCGGAACGGGATCGGTAGGATTAACCGGGAGCACAGCAACGGGAATGCATTACGGTGTCAGCAGTGGCGGTGGCATCGGAGGAGGAGGTGTGCCCACCTCTGGAGCGGGCAACACAGCCGGGAGCTATGTGTCCATTGGCATCCTGCCCAGCATGCCGCCCGCCCAGCTAGCACCGCTGCTGTTGCCCGCACCGCCGACAGCGACGACAACGACCTTCAAGACCACGCCCCTGCTGCCCATGCCCACGCTGGAGGACATTGAGGTGGCTGCCAATCAAGGTGGTGGCGGACCAGGTGGTCAGGTAGGGGAAAATTAATATTTTTATTAGTTTAAATAAATAATAATAATATTAATTATTTGCACAGGTCGTAGTTTCTTTGGCACAACCCTCGCTGGCCCCGCCGGGTATCTTAAAGTATCCCACCGCCGCTGGGTATGTGAGTGACTTGATGGCACCGCCTCCGAACCTGCAATCCCTCCAGCAACAACTCCCTCTGACCCTGCCCCTACCAATGCCACTGCCCCCCTGGCCAGCGGCAGTTGCAGCAACAATAGCAGCAGCAGTAGCAGCAATAACAGCAACAGCACTGGCGGCGGCGGTGGTGGTGGTGGTGGTGGTGTTGGTGGTGGAAATAGCAGTGGCAACAACAATTCTGGCAGCAATTGTGGCACACTCAAGAGCAATGCCAAACTGCTGCCGCTTCAATTGATGAGCAGCAGCAGTGGCACTACGCCGCCGAACCGTAAGGAACCACTGCCACCGGCTCATCCGCAGGCTGCATCCATTCAGGCGCAAGCCCAGGTGCAACACCAGCTGCAGCAGCAACATCAACAGCAGCAGCAGCAACACCACCAGCAGCAGCGGCAACGTAAGCGAAAGGGATGGTGCTCCTGCTTCGGTGGTGGTGGCTCTAGGGGCAATAGCTCCTCTTCCTCCGGCAGCGAAGGGAAGACCCCGCCAGGATATGGCTCCAAGGAGGGCATCAAGAAGAAACGGAAGGGTACCTCGCAGACGGTGTGGTCTGCCCTCCTCACCAATTTGGGGATTTGTATGCTGCTGCTTGCCTACACATTGTTAGGTGAGTTTTTAGGGGCTTAAAATTAAGTATTATATTATTTAGTTATATGGATTATCGGGAATATGGAAAAGTATTGAAATTATTTAATTTTAATATTTTCCCCTTTAACAAAGGGGTGTTTTAAGCAAAGAAATTTGTTAAAGATGCAAATTAGAGTTCCTTTAAACTTTACAAATTTTTCATGCATGATCAGTTTATGAAAATGTCAAAATGATATAGAAGAACATACATATAAAGATGGATTTTAAAAAAGGTTCTGATGTTTTTGGGAAGAAAAATCAAGTGAAATCTAATTAAAACGACTGATTTAACTATATATATATATATATATACATGGAAAATAGTAAAGTATCTTTTTTGTTAAATTTTCCTTGATATCCCTAAAGTCTTATATATATATAATATAAAATAAATAAATATATATATAATAAATAAATAAATATAAATAATAAAAATTATATATAAATTGATACCTTCTTTCAAACCCAAATATTTCAACTCCTTTTGACTTTTATATATGACAACAGCCTAAGGTCCTTAAAGAACCATCCTTAATCATTAGGAGGCTTCCGTATTTCGAGGACCCAAAAGGGTTTGCCCAAAAACAGCTACAATTTCCGCCCCTTGCTGGTTCATAATTACATCTAGAGATGTACAAAGATGTATGTAATAGACATAAATAGGTAAATTGACAGTACTGTGCGTGACAGGCACTCACATATCATTTGTATCCAATGTCTGTGGATGCCATTTCATTGCTGCGGCCTTCCTAATTAACGCGGCATCTTCTTTCGGCCATGCGTTCGCTTCGCTTCGTTTCGTTTTGCTCTTTTCTTATTGTGTTGCGGCACGTGTGTCAGATACAGATACAGATACAGATACAGATACATTTACAGATACGGATGCGAGGATACACTGAAGGGAAATTAGCTATTAATTTATGGGATTTATATAGGGAAAATAAAAAGGTGAATCTTTCTGAACTATCTCAAGTAGCAAGTATATATTGAATGTATCTTTTAAATGTATCTCTTGATCGTATCTCTTGTAATTAAATATCCATTTCCCCATTTTTTTGCTATCTGTAATTATACAAAAATGATTTGCTGTGCATGGTATACATTTACACTAGTGGATACGCTTAATGTTTGGGACAAGCGAAGGGTACAAGGATGCTTAATGTATCTTGTCACAGAGTTCGACGTTTAAATTAACCAACAACAGGAACTGGGTGGAACGCCGCCAAAGCCGCCGCACGACAACGTGATAAATTTAATTAATCATTCGTTGTCGTCACCGCCTACCCCTCCCTCCCTCTCGGAAAAACCATCCCGCCCCCTCCATGGAATCCCACCCATTCGATGCCAAAAACAAACGTCAAAATGGCGGCCGCAGCGCCAAAAACTTATGTTTTATCCGCGCCACATGCCTCAGTCCTGTCAAAGTGTGTGTGTATTTTTACTAGGGTACAGTGATTGCCAGAAAATTATGCATATTTGATTATTTTTTTAAATTTAATATATATTTTACAAGCATTAAAGCATATAGGTTTCAAAGAAATATATAAAAATCAATTTAAAATGCGGGAAATTATGAATACAAATATAAATATATTTAATTATATAATTTTTTGCATTTATTTAAATTTTTTTGATAAAAATTTAAAGAAAAAATACTTAATCATTTATTATTTTCCATTTTTTTAATTGTTAAATATTAGAAAAGTATAAGAAAATTAAAAGAAACCATTGACGCACACTCTCAGCATATAAATATATATTTGATTATATAATTTGTTGCATTTATTTAAATATTTTAATAAAAATCTAAAGAAAAATTACTTAATCGTTATTTATTTCCTTTCTTTTTAATTGTTAACTATTAGAAAAGTATTAGAAAATTAAAAGAAACCATTGACGCGAACTCTGTGCATCCATTTCCGTTTCCGCTTACCGTATCCCTAACCGGAAATCCCGTTTCCATCCCTCGTTTTACCTCCAACTCCTCGGATTCTCTGACGGCGACGGCTGCTTTGACAAGCAGCGCTGGCTGGAGATACAGCAGCAACATCAGCAGCAGCAGCAACATCAGCAGCAGCAGCAACACCGCAGCAGCAACACCCACACACACACATGTGTGTGTATATGCGTTTTTTGCGAAATACTTTAAACAAATCGAAAAATTCAACGGCATGTGTGCGTGTGTGACAACAGATGGTCGAAAAAGTTGTCCCTTGTTAGGAGGAAATCATCAAAATGACACAAACAATTATTTAACTTTCGCTAGGCGGTGCGTGAGGCTCGGTGACGTCACACCACACACACACACACACACACACACAGACACATTTTTCTCTTTATTTTATTTGTATTTTTTTATTTTTTATTGTTGTAAAGTTGTCCTCAACCCATTCAACAAGGCTTTAACGCTTCAGTGAAAGTTACAAGTTGAGAAAAGGTTCGAAGACCAACCAAAAATATACTCTATAAAGGCTAAGGGAGGTAGTCTAAAATATTAAAAAAATAGGGTCAAAATAGTACATTAAATTAAGAAAGATATTTCACAAAAAATTAGCAGAAAAAGTAAACTTAGACAAGCAATTTAATAATTTTAACAGGCAATAGATTTTAAAACAACAAGGCAATAAGTGAAGGAGCAATTTGAAGGACTCGTCAACAGACAAATAAAATATTTATTAGCTGTTAAATAAAACAGATAAATTAAAATAAATAACAAAATTAATCCTAACATCTTAAATGACCAACAAACTTAACAATAAATAAGAAAGCTGAAGTACAAATTGTAATACCAATTAAAAAATAAAACAATATATTAAAGCTCAAGATTATAGAAAATATAAGTCATAATAATCTGAAATTTCATTCAAAAAGTAAATATAACAAAGTAATAATAACATATACAATTAAAACATAAATAAACACTTACAGTAATAAAAAGAAATCACTCTTACTTAGAAATCACAACAAAATTACCTAATTTATTTTATTTAATTTAATAAAACCCCCCAAAAAACAACTCCAAGGAGGACCCTTGACAAGTCTTGTCAAGCTACTTAGAAAAATAGTTAAAGAAACACACACTATTAACACCAGCACACATTCCTCCATCAATAAATCTTCCTTTCGGGACGAAAAGCAGGATATGTCAGGCCTTCAGCTTTGTGTCCGGAAGACCATCATCATCTTAGCTTTCTCCTCCGAACATGGTCCTGTATTATTTTTAACTTTGACATGTGTTGGCTTTTGGCGAGGACATCAACTCATCATTTCGCATACGCTCAACATCATTCTCAGCTAAGAAAAAACAAAATAAAAATAAATAAATAAATGGCAACTTTTGTCGAAGGCTGGCGCAAAAACTTTTCAAAAACTTGACAAAATGTGTGACATGTGTGTATTAGTTGTGCGGGGCATTAACATTAAATGAGTGACAGGAATCAACACGGAAAAGGGAAGGACTTTGTATCGATTTGGGAGGATAGGAACTTGAAAAAAGGACATGACCCATTTGGGAAAGAAATAAAATCAAGTACATGACTGGGTATGAATTTAAGGTTTTGTTTATCGGAAAACAGTCGGTTTTTAATTTTTTTATTAGGTAAAGAGTTGAAAAAATTAAGAGACATATTTGTAAACAGAAAAGAAACATTTAATAATTATTTTTAAATAACTATAAGTTTATAAAAGACAATAAAATACATTTTTTGAATGACTTCTAGTATTTATAAATAGTATAAAAATATTTAAGTATCAAATTCTGAGCTTATTTGTAGGATAAATATTATGAAAAATCTTGAAATTATAAATTAAGAGTTTAAAATTTTCTCTTATAAAAATATAGTAAGCATAAGTTGGTTAAAAGAAAATTAAATTTTCTCTATATTTTTTTCTCAACTAAAATTCGTTGAAAATCCTTAAGGATTTATGTGGAACTTTGCAAAACTGTGTACTGTTTGCCCTTTCAACAAAATGTTCCCAAAAAAGCAGGAAGCCCTTAAGCTGTCTGAAGAGCGATTGCAGCACCTTCAAGATGCTTTATGTTCCATCCTGTCCTGTCTTATCCTTCGGCTGCAATTCGCCTGCTCTAAACCTGTGAAGCACCAGCATCCTTTCTAGCCATATCACAAACAAATGAGTTAAGGTTGAGTTCATATTTTGCAAAGGGAACAGCCAGGATAATGATGTACAGAGGGAAAAATAGCAAAAATCAAAGCAAGAATAAACTTTAAAGCTAAATAGATGATGAAATATACAGAGAATCTTTTATAAAATATATTTTAATATTATTTTTATATATTTAAGAAAAAGTTTCCTTGCTATTGAGTTGGTAACATTTATTTTTCACTGCGTAACCCTGCTCCTTTTTCTGTCTTTTGTCGCAGGCTCCTTCATCTTCCTGACCATTGAAAACGAGGACTCGGCTTTGCTGCATCAGCAGCACACATTGGCCAGCACCAAGCGGAATATGGCTAATACAGGGAACAGCATCTATCAGCAGCAGCAGCAGCAGCACAATCTGCAACAGCAGCAGCAGCAGCAGAGGACGCCGCACCAGTCATCGGGACATCATGGGGATAACGATACGATAACCGCCGCTGTGGCTGCCCAGGGAATGATCTCGGGTTCGGGAACTGCAAATGGTGGACCCTTTGGCGGTGACTTTGTCTATGGTGTGGAGGATGCCGATCTGGATTCTGGCGGGATGCCACAGTTTGCCCTTTCGCCGGACACTTATGATGTGCGTCAGCGGACCATTGAGAATATTTGGGACATTACTGTTTCGCTCAATATTCTGTACAAGGAGAATTGGACAAAGTAAGTATTCAAGTTTTAAATATAGTTTTCAATTTAATTTTTAAATAAAATTAAAATTGAATTGAAGTAAGATACAATTGAATAAATATAAAAATTTTAATTCAATTTAAATCCATTTTAATAAAAATCTCTTTATATATAATAACAATTCAATTGAAATCTCTTTTAATAAAATTTTATTTTATAAATATTAACATCTTTGACTTGAAGGCATTTTGAACTTTATTATCTTTTTATAAATTATTAATTGTAGTCCTGCATTTAATTTTAATTTTGATATAAATTCAGTTAAACAAAAACTTACTTGTAATTTAATTTTACTAGTGATTAAATTTTAGTTCAAATAAAATCTAATGTAAATTAAAATCCTTTAATAAATATGAACGAATTTTGTCTTAAGCCCAATTTTGATTAAAGTCCTTTTTATTTAGCTTTCTCTTTGCTTTCTATTAAATTTTTATTTTTAATATAAACTCACTTCAACTTAAAGTCACTCAAACTAAAATTTAATGAAATTAAAATTTAATAAAATTAAAAATGAATTATATGTAAATCTACTTAAATTAAAAATCTACTATTAAATATAAACAGTTTTGGCTTGAGGCTAATTTTGTCTGAATTTCTTTTTAATAGAACTTTGGCCCTACATTTTATTTAAGTTGAAAATAAATACAGTTAAACTAAAATTGTAATAAATTCAAAATTCAATTAAAATTTAATTAAAATTAAAATTTAATTAAAATTAAAATTTAATTAAAATTAAAATTTAATTAAAACTAAAATCTACTTAAATTAAAAATCTACTAATAAATATAAATAGCTTTGGCTTGAGGCCATTTTTATCTTTAATTGCTTTCAAGATTGAACTTTGGCCCCACATTTTATTTTAATATTAAATAAATACAGCTAAACTAAAATTGTAATAAATTCAACATTCAATTAAATTTAAATTAAATTTATTAAATTAATTAATTTAATAATTAATTCATTTAATGTAATTTAATCAATTAAAATGTAAATAAAATGTAATTTAAATTTAATAAAAATTAAAATTTAATTAAAAAAATTCAATTAAATCTAAATTGAATTAAAATTTAATTAAAAATAAATTCAAAATTAAATTTCAATTTCAATTTAATTAAAAATAAATCCTTATAATATAATCTGCTTTTCATGTAGTTAGTTTTGCTTTTAATTCCCTTATCGTCTTAAATTCAAGTTTGAAATTATGAATTATGAATTATAATTTCTCTTAATTAAATAAATGATTATTTAATTATTATTAACCTAAAATTATGCTTAAATACTTAGTGATTAAGTCAACAAGCTGGTCACACAGTGCGTATACTTGATAGACGGGGCGTATACTTGATTTTCTGCCTACTTCATGTGATAACTTTCTTTTGTTTTCTCTCTCTCTCTCTCTCTCTCTCTCTCTCTCTCTTTCTTGTCCCCCCTTATTCTCCCTATCCCTCCCCCTCTCCCACCTTCCCCTCCCCCTCCCCAACAGATTAGCCGCACTTGAAATAGCCAAGTTTCAAGACCAATTAATCAAGAGACTGAACGAGGATGTTATGCTGCAATTATCGCACGAGGATGTGGCCAATGCCAACAGCAACTCCCCTCTTCCTCCGCTCTGGCAGCAACAGCAACAGCAACAACAACAATCCAGCCACGGAAGCTGTACTCCTACACACACACTATCATCATCATCGCGCCGGCGGAGGCGTTGGAGGCGTGGCCGTGGGCGGTGGTCCGCCGCACGAATGGAATTTTGCCAAAGCGTTTTTGTATTCGCTGACCGTTTTGACCACAATTGGTAAGTGCCCAGTGGCCTTCTTCTTTTTCTTCTTCTGCTTTTGCTTTTACCATCTCTAGCCAGCTAGCATCATGGCTATCATGGGATCATGGTGGTAGTGGTAGTGGTAGTGGTAGTGGTGATGGTCAAAAAGGGGACACACACACACACACACACACAGAGAAACAATGGCTCTACTACATGGCTAGCTGGCTGTTGGCCATAAATTTGATGTTCCACAGCAACGGAAATTTGTTTTACTTGAATGGCGAGTGAGTGCGCTCTTGTTTTGCAGGATACCAAAAGGCAATAGCGGCTAAAAAGGGAGGGGCAGGGGATGGTACACTAATAAAAAAAATAGAGGGGGTTTTTAAAGGTTTAGGTTTTCACTTTATTTCAAAAACTGACAAAAAATTTAATTTTTTTTAATGAGTATGAAGATTTATTTAGCTAATACTAACATTGGGACGGTTTATTAAATGAAAATTAATGCATTATTGGCTTAGTTGTGAGATTTTTAACCTGTTATTTGACGAAATAATTATCAAATGTAAATATATAGATAAAATCGATTAAAAAAAGGTATTATAATTTTAGTCAGAAGCTTATAAGAAATTGAAGGAGTCATTTCCGACCCTATAAATCATATATATTTTTGATCAGCATCAACAGGCAAATCTTTCTAGCTATTTCCGGGCAAAACAAAATTTTTTCTAAAATTTCCCATTTAAAAATAAAAAAAGGGGTTACATCGTTAAAATTTTAAAAAAATCGGTCAAAAATGTATATTTTACGTGGAGTATGCAGTTTAATTTACCTGCTAAAAATTAGCATACGAACTCTATCCGAATTGAAATTAATGCTTTTTAGGCTTAGTTATGAGATTTTGTAAATTTGATTTGTCGAAAAAATTTGCATATAAAAATATAGTTAATATCGTTTAAACAATGGTATAAAAATATCAATAAATATCGATTTAATGAAAGTGGGTTTAATTTTACTTAACCCTTTAAATTACAAATTCAACCCTTATTAAATTACCAAAATTCCAGAACTTTCTCGCCCTGTTTTCCTTAGTGTATGTAAAGGTGAGAACGGGTAAAGGCCATGAGCATGACCCGTACACCTTTTGACACCATCGCATGAGTGCATTTGGGCCTGGACCCACTGCTGTTGTTGATGGCAACTAAGGAGAGGAGGAGGACTGAGGTTGAGGTGGCTAAAAAGCACGAAAAACTGAGTAAAACTGCCAGCTAAACGGGGTCTAAAATTGTGTACAAAAACGGGGTGCTAAATGTGGGGTTCTTGTTGGTGATACCAAGGATGATAACGATGATGATGATGATGAGGATGAGGATGAGGATGAGGATGAGGATGAGGATGAGGATGAGGATGAGGATGAGGATGAGGATGAGGATGAGGATGAGGATGAGGATGAGGATGAGGATGAGGATGAGGATGAGGATGAGGATGAGGATGAGGATGAGGATGAGGATGAGGATGAGGATGAGGATGAGGATGAGGATGAGGATGAGGATGAGGATGAGGATGAGAATCCCACATGGTCACATCCATGATGCTGGTTTGCATAGCGCAGCCGGTGTAATTCAAGCCTTAAGAGCTGCGTTTTGGTAATATGGATAGATGTGCATCCAGGGAGTAGCTAAAGTGTTATCGGTGGCATATAACGATTATTTATCGATTTACTAACCAGTGGCTATGGAAAAGGATGAGCAATAATATCCTGTTTGCTTTAGTTTATTTTTTTAAGTTTTATTCGTACATATAAAAATTTATTTATTGGCTAATCAGAGTACACCTTTAACACCTTTGACCTTTTAAAGACTCCATTAAAAATCGATATGAATTTACTAACCAGTAACTATGGAAAAGGATGAGCAATAATTTACTGTTTGCTTTAGCTTATTTTTTTAAGTATAACAATTTATTTATTGGCTGGTTAGAGTAAACCTTTGACAGCTTTTCCTTTTTAAAGACTCCATTAAAAATCGATATGTATTCAATATAACAATTATTTATCGATTTAGGAACCAGTGCCTATGGAAAAGGATGAGCCATAATTTTCTGTTTGTTTTAGTTTATTTTTTTAAGTTTTATTCGTACATATAAAAATTTATTTATTGGCTAGTTAGAGTAATAGCTTTGCCTTTCTAAAGACCCCATTAAAAATCGATATGTATTCAATATAACGATTATTTATCGATTTAGTAACCAGTAACTATGGAAAAGGATGAGCAATAATTAACTGTTTGCTTTAGTATCTTTTTTAAAGTATAACAATTTATTTATAAGCTAATCAAAGTACACCCTTAACACCTTTGCCTAATTAAAGACCCAATTTGAAATCGATATGTATTCAATATAACAATTATTTATCGATTTACTAACCAGTAACTATGGAAAAGGATAAGCAATAATTAACTGTTTGCTTTAGTTTCTTTTTTAAAGTATAACAATTTATTTATAAGCTAATCAAAGTACACCTTTAACACCTTTGCCTTATTAAAGACCCAATTTAAAATCGATATGTATTCATAATCGGCTCCATTTCGTTGACCCCACCACTCTGTCATCGATTTTCGACCCTTGGTCCTTTCAATTACCCCAAAAAAAAAAATAAAAAAACTAATTCGATAAGTCTGCGATTGCTGACTCTGTCGAGGATTTCTCAATTGGCATTTGTCAGCAGGGATGCGGGCCCTTGAGGTGCTCCCATGGACCTGTCCTGCCCAATTTTAAATATTGGTTTGTGGGGAGGAAAAACTTTTAAGCCCCAAAATTCAACACACATCCATCCGCAGGCTTTTCCTTCCCCTCTCCTACCACCTTACCTTTTCTCGATTCTCTCAGCTTTTTGTTGCCAGTTGTCAGTTCCCAGGGAAAATTTTCAACGACGAATGCTGCTGCCGTGTGCGTTTTTCCCTCTCACTCTGGCGCCTGTCTTTTTGGACGGTAATTTTGTAGGCTCTCCCTAAAAAAAAAAGAAATAGAAAAAGTAGGAAAAAAAGCAAGCCGAAAGTCAAATATTGATAGAGCAAAACAACAAACGAAGCTATTTGCTTAGCCCGAATGGCCGAGACACAAACACACGCAAATCAGCACTCACACACGCACACAAGTGCATAGGTACACTAGGAGAAATCAGAATAAAGTATTATTTATTTAAGGAAAACATCTCTGAAGAATATTTGTCACTTAGATATTTATTTTTTTAATTTTTACTTTGATAAACTCGAATCTAGGTAAGACATTTTTCATTTACTTTTATTCTTTTAATTTAACAATAAAATAATAGTTTAAAAATGATAATACTATATTGATCTTATTTTTAAGAAGTTCATTATATTTTTTTATTTATTTTGAAGTGTTTGCTATTAAAATAAAATATTATTTAAATTATTAATCAATACCAAATTGAGTTGCTTTATAAAGACAAACCTTACCCTGCACTCATTTTAATTTCAAGCCCCAAAATTTTATCAAAAATGTTTTAAAATATTATTTAATGTTTTTTTTATTAAATTTATGTATTTCAAAGAGTTTTATAATAAAATATATTTTTAACTTAATGAACCAAAAATACCTTGATTTCCTTGATAAAGTGTAATCTGGACCTCACTCAAAATTGATTTTCTTGTAATTGTAACTTAAAAAGAATAATTAAAATTTGTTTAAATATTATTTAAGGGTTGCTTCTTTGTTTACTTTTTATATTTTCTAGGTTTTTATATAAGTAATGTTTTAAAGCATATTTTTTAAGCAACCAAAATTAACTGAAGACCCTAGAGACACAACAATCACTCAACATTTGCTCCATAATTTATGCAGAATATACCAAGAAAAATATTTTAAATAATATTTAAGGCTAAACTAAACAAGAATTAGTTTCTGAACTTAAATAAATGAATTTAAAAAGTATATAATAATACTAAAAAATTCCTAAATGAATAATTTACCTTCTTGAGGTTTTTTATTTTTGCTCGGTGCTTACATCTAGGAATTTATATGAACGCATAAGTATCTGTATCTGTATATACATATATGTATATGTATACTCAAGTGTATGTGTGTGGGACACATCGACACGACTTTCCACTTGTGAAAATGCTATAAAATAAAATTTGCAAAAATTTTCTGCTGATCTTGGCAGTTCATGCCAAAAGGCCGAAAGCAAATATAGGACCAGGACCAGGAAAAAGGGACCCCCAACCATCATTACCATTCCAAAGTCCTTCTGGCTTTTGTTTCTTGTTTTTTTTTTCTTGTTGCTTTGCAAATGCATAAAAATGGGGGGAAAATAGGGGCGGGGCAGTTTGCAATTGCGTTAGTCAGCAGACTGCCAGGACATTTGTATTAACATGACATCCTGCCGCCACCCAATGCCACCTCCTCGTCCTTGTCCTTGCTTATTATTATTATTATTATTATTATTATTATTATTGTTTTTGTGGGTTGTGTTGTATTTTTGGCCAGGCGCAGAGAGCAGGTCTTCATTGTTCTTGGCCGGGCATCCCAAACAATATGATTATGATTATTGGTCCATGCTTCTGGCCAGAGGAGAGAGAACAGGACCTAAGCCACTCTCGAGTATATACTCGAACATATACTCGAATGCAGGCGTTTCTAGCTTCAAGTCGACCTCCATTGCGGCCTATTCAAGCTACCCTCTATAATAGTTGGTGCCCTTTTAGGGGTGTTTTGTTTAATTTTAAATTAAATAAATTATAATTTATAATTCAAATTTTAGGGAAGAATAAGTAATGGGTAAATATTCAGAAATAAACAAAAGACATTGGTGTATTTTTGGGGTATTAAGATACATTAAATAAACATTAAAATCTAGTGTTCTCTTTAACAAAATAGCTATTGAGTTTGCTCAATTAAATATAACAAAATGTTATACCCATAAGCTCCTTTAAAAAATTATTCTGTTAAGATATTTATTAGGCCTTTTAAACACAGATTTTCAAATAGTTTTCATGTATATATTTTTCGGATAGTCAAACAATTTTTTAAAGAGGTTACTTTATAATTTTAAGGGTCTTATTTAATACCTAAAAATATTAAACATTTTCTGCTTAAAATTTAAAGTTTAGTAGGTTTAAAATCCTAAAAATATTTACAAAGTTCTGCTCTTCAATTTTAATTTGGTTTCCTAAAATAAAAAGAAACAGAAAATATCTATAAATAACTTAAAAAAAGTATTTAAAAATGCCTATTTAGACAACTTAAATAGCTTTTTTTTTAATAAGTATATTTTTTTGGCCTATTTAAAAATGCCTTTAAAAATATTTCAAAATACTTCTAAGAAGGAATAGTAATATATTTTAGTATAACCCCAGGGTATCCTCGAGTTGAGTTATATCCCCCTTAGCATTGGCGTGAGTTCTATGATTGTCTTGGGCATAAATGCGAATTTATAGGCAGCCAGGCTCCTTCCTTCCTTCCTTCCTTCCGTTCCTCGAGGTCCTCGAGGTCCTCGAGGTCCTTCGGCCTGTCGCTGGTACAATAAATAGGAGAGACCGGATCGGGATCGGGCCAATCCCCTGGACAGCAATAAGACAAGTAATTTAGTTGCAAAATAATTTTAAATTTCATTTTCCATTTTCACACACACACACACACCCGGGGAGAAAACTGAGTTCCATTTGCAGAACAGTCCGTAGTCCGTAGTCCGTAGTCACTATCATCAATTGCGCATCTTTGGGGCCCAGCGATTCGGTTTTATGCCCCGCCATTTTGTGTTATGTGTGGACCATCGATATATATATATGTATATATATATACATCTATATAAATGGGCCTCAATGAGCCGAAGGGATAACCGGAGTCGAAGGCAGATTAGGCCTAGTTGTTTATGGCGCGAGCGTGTGTTCAAGTTGTGAGAGTGTAATTGTATTTACTTGCCCGCCACGCATATTCGATAAATAATTCACTCGCCTATCGGCTTAGCCCCATCCCCAATTTGGCAGCCATTGCACGATTTATTTGCATTTCCCTTTTGAGAAGCATAATCGATATCTATCGAAGGCAAAGGGAGTCCTGCTGGGCAGCTCGTAATTGAAGTTGTAATGGTAACAAAAATAATCGACTTTTGTGATCGGAATTGTAATGGCTAAATATGTTGTGGGTTGATTTTCTTAATAGGATTGGGTATAGGAATATATAGAAGTGAACTTGAATGGTTTCCAATTTTTAAAATGCAAATTAAATGCTTTAGAGATAGTAGAACTTAATTGTTAATTAATACTTTTTATTCTGAATACATTTGTTTCCTTTTGTGTTTAATAACTCATTTTCTTATTATTATATCTATTAAACACAAATTCCTCTTATTAATTGAAATAGCTTTGTTTTAAAACAACAGCATTTAGTAAGTTAAATCGAAAGCAAATATTAATTAGCCTGCAGCTAAACCTGCAAATTCTATTGTTATCCTTTTGAATGTAACTCTTTACCTTATGTGTTTATTTTATTATTTATAACAAAGGCAGCACAGCGAGAACATAATGAACAGTTGTCAATTAATATTAATATAGATATTGTTATATGCAAATTTTTGCGACAAATTAAAGTTTAAAAATCGCGTAACTAAGCCAAAAATGCATTGATTTTTATTCAGAAGCCAGCTTTAAGCTAGTTTTTGATAGGTTAACAAATCTGCATACTTAGTTTAAAATATACATTTTTGTCTTAAATTAGGCAATTTTAAAGTATAAAATGTTGAAAAAAATTGGTAAACATTTTCTTTCTGTCGGAGGTACCTAGATCGATTCGGCTGATCAAGAATATATATGATTTATAGCGTTGGAAATGCCTCCTTCACTATTTTAGAAGCTTCTGACTAAAATTAGAATACCCTTCAGGGTTATAATAAAGTTTAAGTTTAAAGCAAGTTTCAGAATTCGAATTTATTTATTTATTTTTATATAGCTTTGAAAACTATCTAGTTATTTGCTTTCTATTAAATATAATATGAAACCTTTATATATTTCAATTACCAAAGGACTGGCAATGCTTTCCTCTCAGTACTTTAAAACCTTCAAAGTTGCAACCATTTAACGCCCATGTGTGTCTCTCTCCCCCTCTCCCCCCTGGTGTCTCCTCAATATTGAAATCTTTCAATATCTTTCAATAAAATATGTAGATGCCTTTTCCTTCAATACTTCTCTTATCCACATGCCCCGGCCTCGTTATCCTTGACTTGCCATGAGTTCCTTCCGAGTTCCTACTGAGTAGCCCCGATATCCCGGCAAATTGACAGCGCGCCAGCTGAGTTTTACAGCCCCCTCGAGTCGGGTCAATGGCAATATTATTAGCCATGGGTTTCGGGGGGATTTACCCCCACAAGCCCCCCTTTTAAGAGGGGCGTAGTGTGTGTGTGCGCTGCACAGTGGTGCAAATAAATCAAGAAAATGCTGCCGAAAATCTTGGCCAAGATTGATTTATGTCCCCTGCATCCTGTGACAATGGGACCAATGTGCGGAACAATATTGGGATATATATTTTTTTGGGAGGGAAGGATATATGCTGAGCTGTCGTCTGCTTTGTGACACATTGACATTTTGTCTGGGAGAAGGAAACGGGGAATGGATTTCATTTAAATTTGCTGTCAACGCAATTACATGGTTGCCAAGGTTGTAACCGAAAATCCGCTTCCTGTTGCAGCTTCTAAGCTAAAAGTAGATTCTTAGGAAACACTGAAAGAAAATGAGCTATTAAAATGCTCAAATAAATGCTCTAAAATATTCCCATTTAAATAGCTTACATACATTTTATTTTAATACCTATTTAAACCATACTTTAAACAACCTTTTCAAGGCATCTCCCAATCCTAGTAATTTCTGATTTATAGATATATTTTTTCTCTGTGCACTTATCCCTCGTACTTGTATGTACTTCCCCGTTTTTTCCTGTTTTTTTTTTTTTTTGTGAAAATGACAGAAGCCGAAGGCACTTGAGCCCTGCCACATGTGATACACCCATATTGATTCGATTCATTTGCCTTTGCAAACTTCCTTCTGCCACCTCAATCTCAAATGACTCACTTCCAGGCAACATTTGGGTTCAATAAAAAAAAGCGTAAGGAGTGGGAAAAAAATATAAACAGAAATAGAAGAACCAATAAACCACGCCCACGTACAAATAAAAAAATATATATATTGCAAAACCGCCGTCAGACCAAAAAGAAAAACAATAAAATTAAGAAATTTTCAAATTTATGCATGACACACCTGCCATGCATGTGTGTGAGTGTGTGTGTGACCACGCCCACCTGCTCAATTGTTCCCCATGCCCGCCTACATTTTTATTTTCCTTTTTTTTTGGTATATATATTTCCTTAGGGAATTTCCGGCCTTAAGCTTGTTAAGCATTTTTATTGCCTCTGCCAGCTTAATTATTTTGGTGGCCTTTACAACATGGGCGTAGAGTGTGGGGGAAAGGGGGGTTAAAAGGGAAATGGGGATTATATGTGAAGTTACGGCTCATTTGGGTAATGTCAATAAGTCGGCATCTCTCGGGGGAATCACACAAATTGACTTTTGCCAAATTAATGTGGGAAAACCAAAAAGAGAAAGTATATATATATACATATATAAAAAGGAAATAAAATATAAATCTTAATAAGGAGAGTAGGTATATTTTAATATGAAAATATTAGGTAGAAAAATACGGTGAAAATGCCATGTGAGAGTAATAATCATTTAATTACAAGAAATTAATTAAATCTTAAAGGTTCCCGCAGTCAGAGGTTGTTATATTATTTATTAAATATATTATATGTTAAGTTTAGTATTTAATACAAAATTCTGCTTGATAAAATTAAATAAAATAAATAATAGAATATATGTTTTGAGGATTTAGACAATTTTAATAAGAGCGAAAATTATGCCTCGTTTTTATAACCTTTCAAGGTATTATAATTTTCGTCAGAAGCTTGAAAAGCCGTGAAATAATCATTTCCAACCCTATAAATCGTATATATTCTTGATCAGCATAAACAGCTGAATCGATCTAGCCATATTCGGTAAAAATAAAAATTTTAAAATTTTTTTCAAAATTTTAAAAGGGATTACATCATTAAAATTATCAAAATGTTGACGAAAATTTTAATTTTTTAATATTTTAAACTGAGTATGCAGATTTGTTAGCCTAATAAAAACTAGCTTAGACCTAGCTTTCGAATAAAAATCAATGCATTTTTGGCTAAGTTATGAGATTTTTAAACTTTTAATTTGTTGAAAAAATTGTCACATAAATATATAGTTAAAATCGATTAAAAATTGTTATTATAATTTTATTCAGAAGCTTAAAACTATTGGAAGGAGTCATTTCCGACCCTATAAACCATATATATTCTTGATAAGCATCAACAGGGGAAAATTTTAGTTACCTCCGGTAAAAAAAAAATTTTTTCAAATTTTTTTCAAAAAAAGAAAAGGGAATTTCCTAAAATGGGTAAAAATGTTTAATTTTTAAGGTTTAAACTGAGTATGCAGACTTATTAACCTATTCAAAACTGTCATAGGAAGGCTCCGAGTTAAAATTAATGCATTTTTAGCTAAGTTATGCGTTTTTCAAATTTTGATTTGTGGAAAAAATTCCCATATAAAAATCTCCATAAATATCAACTCAAAGAATGTGAATATCTTAACCTTATGATCGATTTCCAATTCGATCGATGATCGATTTTTAATTCGATGCTATTCTAATTCCTAATTCCTATTCCTAATTCTATTGCAAACTGCAAGTTTATATTTACTTTTCCTATTTTAAATTAATTAATCTCTCTTTATTTTATTTTTCCCCCTCCTCAGGCTATGGAAACATTGCACCCAGGACGACTCTCGGCAGGATTGTCACCTTGGCCTATGCCTTCTTTGGCATACCGCTGACCCTCGTTTACCTGAGCAGCACGGGCAGTATCCTGGCTAGAGTGGCTCGAGAGGTCTTCTCCAAGGCTCTGTGCTGCTGCCTGTGCTCCAATTGTGGCTATTGTTGCTACGACGAGAAAAGGATGGCGGAGAAGGAGCGAAGGATGCGTAGGAAGCGGCAACAGGAGGAGCTGAGGAAGCAGCAGGCGGTGATGCAGGAACCCTACTATGTCCGGGATGTGTACCATGCCACGCCGGAGAAGGATGCCGGCGGCGGTGGTGTTGGGGGAGGAGGAGTTGATCCACCCTCCGCGGCCACTGTGGGTGGCTTGGGTGGAATGGGTGACATTGATTCGCTGAGTGCCAGCGAGTCAAGAGGATCGATGCATGGCCTGAGCATCCTGGCACCCATCCTGCTCTGCTTTTCCATGATGATCATCTATATAGTGTTTGGTGCAGCCGTATTATATCGCCTGGAGAACTGGCCCATTCTGGATGGGATCTACTTTTGCTTCATGAGTCTGTCCACCATTGGATTTGGTGATATGTTGCCAGGATTGCGTAGGGAATCGAATGCCACCACCTGGTTTTGTTCCGTTTACATAATGTCCGGCATGACACTCACGGCCATGTGTTTCAATGTCATTCACGAGGAGATTGTCCATCGGATTCGGATTGTGGTGGAGTTTAAGAAGACAAGTGCCGCCAATTCGGGACCTGGTCTGGTGGGATCGGGCAGTGGAGGTGGCACCGGTGGTCCTGGCAGTTCCATGATGGATGTGGCGCACGAGGAGGGTGGCCAGTATTATGTGCCAGCATCCTGACACTACGAGAAGCGAGGGCATCTCTACCAGCGTAACCCCACCGAAGAGACCCTGGTGACAGGTGAGAATAAGGATGTCTAGGAGATTTTAAATTAAATTAAATTGTGCATAAAAGTATGCTATAAAATAGGGAGAGCTTTGAAGGATATAATAAAAATCCTTGAATAAGATATAAGTCAGAAGGTTGAAACTAAGTGAAGGAACCTATAAATCATAAATATTCTTGATCAGCATCAACAGGCGAATCTTTCTAGGCATAAAAAAGAGAAACACTTTTTTTGCCTTTTTTTCTAAAAATAAATAAGGGGTTACATCGTTGAAATTTAAAAAAAAATTTAAATTTTCTACTTTTTAAATTGAGTACACAGATTTATTAAGGTGATAAAAACTAACACAGGAACGCTTTCCGATTTAAAATTAATGCTCTTTTGGCATAGTTATCAGTTTTTTAAACTATGATTTGTTTGACAAAATTGTCACATAAATATATAGTTAAAATCTATTAAAAATGGTATTATACTTTTAGTCAGAAGCTTAAAAGAATGTGAAGCAGTCATTTCCGACCCTATAAATCATATATATTCTTGATCAACATCAACAGGCAAATCATTCTATCTATATAAATTAATGCATTTTGGCTGAGCTATGAATTTTTTTCAATTTTGATTTGTCGAAAAAATGTTCAGATAAACATATATATTTACATTACAGTTTTGAACTTTTTTAACGATCGTTTGTATGACAGTTATATGAAATAGTAGACCGATTTCCATAAAATTTTACAGAAAATTCTAGATTAATATATAATGGCTATATATTAAATTTGATAAAAATCTGTTAAAAACTGAAAAGGTTATGATTTGTTTCTTAAAATGTCTGATCGTTCCTATACCAGCTATATATATGTATATATATATAGTCCACCGATTCGCCATGCTTCGACTTATATAGTAGTAAAATTATATAGAAGAATAACTCCATGGTTTCATTACAATAGCTTAAATTTGTTCCGAAACAAATCTCGCGCATCTGTGCTTATGATTCCCAACTTGTTCTAACATCCCCGGAACGAAGTGACTGCTGCAAGCCAAGTCTTAGAAAAGTGTTGTGTTACAAAAGTTGCAAGTCATTGTTTATTAGTGTTCAAAGTTAGTAACTGATCATACATACATACTTACTGGTCAAAGATATTACTTAGTTAATTACTGATCATAGTTACTCACTGGTCATAGATTCTTACTGTTCAGAGTTACTTACTGGTCATACATAATTACTGTTCAGACTTAATTAATGATGATAATTATTTACTGATCATGGTTACTTACTGGTCATTGTTAATTACTGATCATAGTTAATTATTGATCATAGTTAGTTACTGATCATAGTTAATTATTGATCATAGTTACTTACTGGTCATAGATAGTTACTGCTATTAGTTATTTACTGATATAGATACTTACTGATTCTCTACATTTAACAACCGTTTCTCTGACAGTTATATTATATAGTATTCCGATTTTCACAAAATATGTTAAAAACTAGAAAAGTGATAATTTTTTTATATAAAGATATCAAAAATATCTATTAAAAAATAATAATATATGAGCTTAGTTATGATCGATTTCTGATACAATCCTACAATTCATAAGCAAACTGCAAGGATATAGAAACTTTGGCTTCTCGAATGTAGTTTTTATACCCTTGCAGGGTATTATAATTTCAGTCAGAAGTTTGCAACGCAGTGAAGGAGGCACCTCCGACTATATAAAGTATATATATTCTTGATCAGGATCAACAGCCGAGTCGATCTAGCCATGTCCGTCTGTCCGTCTGTCCGTCTGTCCGTCTGTCCTTCTGTCCGTCTGTCCGTCTGTCCGTCTGTCCGTTTCTACGCAAACTAGTCTCTCAGTTTTGAAGCTATCTAAATGAAACTTTGTAGTTAGCCTTCTATATACTCTCACTCGTATATATGTCGGAACGGGCCGGATCGGACGACTATATCCTATAGCTTCCATAGGAATGATCGGAAAATTTTTACAAAAAAAATTTTAACTTTTTCAGTTTTCAATAGAATTGGCTCAAATTTGAGATATAGCGATTTTACTATACTCTACAATTTTGTATAAAATTTTATGAAAATCGGGCTACTATATCATATAGCTCCGATAGGAACGATCGAGAAATTAATACAATTAAATTTATAACTTTCCCAGTTTTCAGCTGATTTTCATCAAATTTGAGGTATAGCCATTTCATATAAATCTTAAATTTTGTGGCAAATTTCATGAAAATCGGACGACTATATCATATAGGTTCCATACAAACGATCGTTTGATGTAGAGGAAAAATGCAAATCTGTGACTGTAAAATTGCAAATATAATATGTATAGGTGAATGAAATGAAAGCAGGTATTACTTCATTGTTTTTTAACACAAATATATATAATTAATATTGTATGGATTCCTATTCACAGAAGTTCTATCTGCAAGGGTATATAAACTTCGGCGTGCCGAAGTTAGCTTTCTTTCTTGTTTTTTGTTGATTTTACATAATAAAATTATTATATTTCTTATATTTATTATATATAATATATTTATTACAATTATTATATATATAATATTTTTATTATATTTAATATATTTAATATTTCCCCACAGACACCCCACATCGCTGGTGATGAAAGACTATGTCAACCATGAGCTGGTGCCCATTTTGACGATGGATCCAAATGGCGCCCGCCTGGCTCCTGCCCCTGCCTACACGCCCGCCGCCGCCTCCGCCGTCGCCGTCGCCGCATCCTCCACGTCGGCAGGACTTCCCGGTTCGGTTACGGGTGCCGGTGATATGGTCACCACGCCCGGTAATAGCTGCATTGCCCATGGCAGTGATTCCGGTTTGGGTTACTCCTCGCTCAGCAGTCCCCTCCTCGATGTCCTGACCACGCCCACTGGTGGGAATAATGCCACTTCCGGTGTTTATACGCTCGCCGAGGAAACGGAACTGGAGCTGCAGGAGACGCATGGGGAAAAGGATCGCATCTAAGGAGTATCCAAGGATCACTGATGTATCCCTTCAGCAGTATTAGTTAGCGATTAGCCTTAGACATAGTCCTAAAACCCTAGATCGAATCGGAATTAGTGTGTAAAGTAAAAAACTACTGTAATTTTTTTTTAGTCTGTGTAATGCGTATGTTGTTGTTGTTTTTTTTCCACCCCCGCAAAACGTAAGACGTAAGTGTGTGTAAGGAGTGAGTCTGTGTCTAATTGAGTGTGTGCGTGTGCAATTAATGGAAAATTTTCAAGGAGTCCCGTTGGACCAGCAAAAGAGATTGTAGCCTAAGTCGAACTATCACTGTACATAAAATATATATTTGTAGCGTATATATATATATATATACATATATTGTAGCCGAGGCGAAGATACATTTCCATAGATCCTAAGAAAATCAGATGTGTAAGCAAAGGATATAACTAGTCAATGTAGAGCTAAATACAAATGCAGAGAACAAAAAAAAAATAAATAAAAGAAAACCGAAAAAACAGCAGGAAAAGCAGGCAAGAAAAATGCAAAGGGAGAGGAAGTTGGAATTAACATTAAAATATAGAAAAATTATTAAATAATTTAATTAAAATTGAATTTATTTAATAAAAGACAAGCAACACACTTGCTTAAGTTGCTCTTTCTGTTATTTTTCTTTCCTTTCTTCATTATCTTCGCTTGCTAATCTTCCGAAATCCAACTTGAGAATTATAAAGTGTTTTAAACTTGATTGGAATTCTTAAGCAGAGCCAAGGATTACCATTTTATTATAATAATTATTAACACCAAATAAAATGAGTTAAAATTATTTAATAATTATTAATAATAATTAAACTGTACCTTTTATATTCTTCTTTATACTTTAAACCATAAACTTGCTCCAAAAACAATCCACATTAGTGTTTAATCCCAACTTCAATTCTCATTGCAATTTTCAAAGAAAGGTTCTCCTCTCTTCGATATATTCGAAATTCCACTTTCTAAGTGTACGAATAAAAAAATAAAATAAAAACCAAAAATAGAGAAATTCTTTTTTAAATGTATGTAAGTAAGCAGAGTCCGAGAAAACGCAACTACATAATCCGCAATACCCATTTACCATAATCAAGACACATTTTATACGTAAATCAAGCTTAGTAAAATTATAAAATATGTACTAAATACGGAATAAATATGCCACACACATAAATATATATATACAAAAACAAAACATATATATATATATAGGTAATTGTTTTTTTTTTTTTTTTGTAATTAAAATAAGCGCGAAATCGGTGACGTGAGGAAAATAAAACTATGCATACATATTATCAATGAATTTGAATTCATAAATTTAAATAAATGTTTGAACTACAAAAGAAAACTACGACAAAACCAAAAAAAAAAAACAAAAACAAAAACAAAAAACTTGCGTAACTTTGTAAATGTTGAAATATACCCAATTGTATATTTATGACAAGTGCAGCAGTAAAATAAAATCAATAAAAACTTAAATGAGTAATGACGTTAATTCTGGGTGGTGTTTTTTTTTTATTGAAATTATGTGCACAAATATAATCATTTTGAAATATTTGAATTCGAGCGCCTTCTTAACCGCCAACTGTTAGTCATAACAGTGAGCTGTTAGGCGCACAATTTCGTACGTACAGCAAGCTGTGTGCTGTTAAACGCAGAACCTGAGGGCATTTCTTTATAAAAATAGATTATACAAGTTATGCTGGTATTGATTTTCGGAGTATTATTTATTTTTTATTTGTGTAATGTATTCAAATGTATGTTATCAGAGTTTAAAATATTCTGGCTCTCGTGATTTTCGTGCGATAGTTACAAATTGCAATGCAGAGACCACTTAACATTTCCCAGCTACAGTTAACAGACTGTTACGCTCTTACTCGTTTACCAACACTACACCGCCATCTTGCATTAACCGTTACAATTTATACGCGTGGTTTTAATTTTTTGTTTTCCTTTCTTTTAGACTTAATTCCTTTGTTTAGCCATGGACTGGTCGCTGCTAATCAAAATCTTGCTCAATAGCTTAACGCTAATGCCAACGGTGCTCGCAGGCACCATGGACGAGGGCTGTCCGACGCTGGCCGATGGCGACAGTTTGTCCCAGACGCAGTTGCTCGATAAATTGACCCATGGCTGCCGCTACGATCGCTTGGAACGTCCGGTGACCTTTTCGGAAAGTGGCCAGCGCTTGCCCGTTGATGTCTATATGCGTGCATACATCTACTTTATGCAGAATCTGGAGGCCCACGATCTCCAATTTAAGATTTATGCCTTACTCCAATTGCGCTATTTGGATCCTCGTCTTAATTTTCGTGGCGTGAGCCCCAAGAGAAAGCAGCCGATCCTGGGGGAGCAGCAGCTCCGTGACTCCCTGTGGATGCCCCACATATTTCTGGCCAATGAGCGGGATTCCAGCATTTTAGGTGAGCTTTAAAATATATGTATATACATTTCCCTAACTATAATCCCGGTGAATCCACTTGCAGGCCTCACGGAAAAGGACATCCTCACCTCCATTTCCCCCGATGGCACCGTCATTGTCTCAAGCCGCATCAAGGCTACGCTTTACTGCTGGCTTGATCTCAAGAAGTTCCCCTTTGACGAGCAGCAATGCTCCACAGTGCTGGAGAGCTGGATGTACAACACATCGGAGCTGGTGCTGCACTGGGAACAGAAGCGTCCAATTACCTACGACCCTGCCCTCCATCTCACCGAGTTTGTGCTGCAGCGCTCTTGGTCCAATGAGACGGTAATCAATGCGGATCTCAGTGATTTGAGGCATGGAGCCTTTGCTGGCAATTATAGCTCTCTGAGCTTCAAGGTGCATCTCACCCGTGTAGTGGGTTTCTATTTAATGGATTACTTTCTGCCCTCGATGCTTATTGTGGCCATATCCTGGGTCTCCTTCTGGCTGCAAGCGGATCAGGCACCGCCAAGAATCACACTGGGCACCAGCACCCTCTTGACCTTCATCACATTGGCCTCGGCCCAGGGCAAAACCCTGCCCAAAGTGAGCTACATCAAAGTATCGGAGGTGTGGTTCCTGGGCTGCACCATCTTCATATTTGGCAGCATGGTGGAATTTGCCTTTGTCAACACCATTTGGCGGCGAAAGAACAGTGTGCCGGTGAAGAAACTTAATAGCAAACACATCCTCAAGTCCACTCTGTCGCCGAATCTGCTGAGACGTCGCAGCAGTCATGCCAGGTCACGTTCCTTTTCGGGCACAGCTCTCCAGAGAGCCGGGGATAGCGCCTCGCTGGGCGGTGGACCAGGATTTAACAATTATTTAACCGTCAATCTGCCCATTACCACAATTAAGGAGGATCAGGTTTTAAGCCAGCAGCAGGAAAATCCAAGATCCACCCACCAGAAACTGGATGTGACCTTTGTGGAGAGCGCCTTTGGACAAATGGGCGCGGCCAGGTCCATTGGTACCCTTAGTGCCGCATCGACCACAACGCAGGGATGTACCAATAACAATCATCCGGATAGAAATGGAGCCGACACGGCCGAGGAGATTGATTTGAGTGGCTGGACCACATTGACTCCGCAGGAAATTGCCATGTGGATTGATAGTCGGGCTAGGTTCGTTTTTCCACTGGCTTTCCTCGTCTTTAATTTGTTCTTTTGGACATTTGTCTATTGTATTTAATGATTTAAGCCTTTTTTATTGGAATTATTCAAAAGCCAGATGGAAAATCGAGTGAATTTATCAAATATTGTAAGCCTCATTTACTTGTTTTGCCCCCATTATTGTTTCTCATGTGTTTTTAATGCCATTTGCAAAGTATTTAATGTTATTTGATGTAAATCCCTGTTTATTTATGTTTTTGTATGCTTTTGTAATGCACAGTAAATTATGATGGATATTTATCCTAACAGAATAATATTATCTTTTCAAAGATTATTTTACAATTGGATTTGTGTTTAAAAATTCAAATAACGCGCCCAGCTGTTGCGCACTCGCTGACTAGTGTTGGGCAATGCCACTCCTCATTGCTGTGAGTGGGATGGCAACACCACAGGCTGGGATAGGAATCACCAATGCGTGAGAGTAGTACCGCTACTGTTCGGGTATCCAACAACCTCATATTCGTTTTTTCCCAACACACACACACTCGCACGCAGCGCAACAATAACATCGGGCCCCAAAAAACGTTCGGACACAACTTCGTCGTGAATTGTAAATGAAGAAAAAATACAAAAAAGATTCCAACGCGTTTGGTTGTTTTTTTTTACGTGTAACTACGCCAAAAAGGCAAGGAATTAAGCTGCAAAAAAAAGAACGGCGCAGCAACAACAACAGCACCGCATGTGCAAGTGCAAGGCAAACATAAACAACGGTGAAGAGACGTGACAGCAACAACAACAACAACAAGAAGTGAACCGATGTGTGTGTGTGTGCGTGCATGCATATGACTGTGTGTGTGTGTACAACGAAAATATTGTATAAATCAAATTTATAATTTTTTTTTTGCGCCGAAGTGGGATCACTTGGGCAAAGAACACAAAAAATGCCATAAACAAAAAAAATCATTTATGAGTAAACTGAAAACACGAAAAGATAAAACAGAACGAAATACTAAAAACATCAAATCTAAAAAAAAAAGACAAAAAAGAACCCGAGGAGGTGTAAATGGATAACCACCGGTAAATTTTACCGCTGTCGCCGCTTCCTTCGCGAGCGAGAAGGACAACAGCAACAGAAACCACAGCAATAGTAATAACAGCAACTGCAAGAACAACAACAATAAGAGGAACCGCAGACGTGCAACGCACGTTGTCCTGCTCCCGCCCGCTGCCGCCACTGCTACCGATTCTTCTTACTCTCTCTTTAACATTATGGACACCATCTGTAGATTATGCTTCCAAACGGCAACGGTAAGAACAAAACAACAACAATACAAGAAAAAAAACGATATACACACATGTATGCAACAAAACTGTCAGTGGTGTGTATTTTGTTATTTCTATTGATTTTTTTAAACAATTGAATTTTGCCAGGGATTCTGCTTTCCAACTGTTATTGTTGGAACGGGAGGGACGATGAGAGGATATGAGATGGATGAATGGGCGGGAGTGGGAGTGGGAAAAGGACGGGGGTGGGGGTTGAAAAGCGCGCGCATTGCCTTCCTTTTCTCACTCCCAGGCAAAACCAAAAGTTCGGCTCGCATACACACACATACACACCGAAAAAGAGAGGGAGAGCGAGAGAGGGCGAGTGAGGCACAGAGACGAAAACAACACACAAACAAATACACATATGCGACCCCAAACTATTGCTGAACAATTTTTATTTTTAGCCAACTCAGCCCGAAAAGTTGTTCAAGCCGACAACTTGAAAAAATATTATTTTTACATTTTGCTTACGCCGCTCGCCGCTTGCTTTTCACTTTGACTCCTTTTCAACAGTTCCCCTACTTCTTCTTCTTCTGTCCCCCGTCCTACTCTGGGCCCCCTCCCGCTCCCCCCGGCCAACATCAACCGCACGAAAAGAAATACATAATAAAACAAAATGACAGAAATTGCGCCAAGGCAGCCAGGCGACAGTGACGTCGCTGAGCTTTCGTTGCAAAGGGGTAATTTCGTCTTATTTGCCTTAAAAATGTTTTCTTTTTTTTAAATTCCGAATTAAACATAAGTAATGGTAATACATACAAATTAGATAAAGATCATGGTAACTTATTAAGCATCATTGAGAGTACTAAACTATTTCTTTTAATAAATAATTTCTGATTTGACCAATTTCACTGTCCCCTTTGAGGGACGCCTCTGCTGTGCGCGCTGGCAGTGCGGCGGCAAAACAAAACAAAAAGCGAAAGAATAACAAAACGCTGTACCGAAGAGAAAAAAAAATAACATGAAATGAAAACAACAACAAGTTGACTTGCTATGAATGTATGTTGTTGTTATTTTCTTTTCTCTGTTCTTTTTTTTTTTTTTCTTTTTTGTATTTTTTGTGCATGCGTGTGTGTGTTTATCTTCTCGGTTGTTATTTCTAGTTCGAGGGATAGCAAGTGAGAGGGGGGGGGGGGATAGATGATGGGTGTATAAGGTTGGGCTGACACAATAAATAAAAAGCATTATTGTTATTACATTCTGCATTTCTTTCCATCCAGACTTTCCAACTAATTGTGGCCCGTGATTTTCATCATCTGTTCCTCTCTTGCAGCTCTTCCAGGTGCCCGGCTATAGCATACCCACGTGCGTCCGCTGCTCGGAACAGTTGACAAATAATTCCAACTTCCATCAATCGGCAGCGGCGGCAGCGGCAGCAACGTCGACGCCAGCAGCGGCCGCTGTTGCCGCTTCGGCTGCCGCAGCTGCTGCCGCTGCAGCAGCAGCCGCCGCTGCCGCATCCTCGACGTCGACGGCCTCCTCCAGCGACAGCGACGCCGTCACCCAGCTGACGAACGGTGGCGGTGGTAATGCCGCCAACGCCGCTGCCGCTGCTGCCGTACTGCAATTGCAGCATCAGCAGGCGCAGCAGCAGCAGCAGCAACAACAACAAATGCAATCATCGAGTTCTTCCGAGAATCTACAGTCGCAGGACGATTCCGAAGATGTAAGTTCCCGTTCCCATTTCAGTTCCAGTTTCCTTTCGCCTCCCCTCCTGACAGTGTTGGGCAACGTCGTCGTCCACTTAGTCAAACAATCGAACAGGCAGGGGCGCAAGCAGATGAGGGGGGGTCATTTGATTACATTTTTGCTTAAATACTTAATTATGCCAAGGGGGGTTGGGTTGGAAAATAGGACAACCCGTATTTACTTTCTACATGCATTAGGCATGCACATATAGAAAGCCAATTGGCATTTAGATAAATGACAGGCAGCGCAATGACCTAATTTAAACAAAAGGTAGTTAATATATACATATGTACATACATTGATAAAAACATATTCATATGTATTATATTAATTAATTAATTTACAAAAAAATATGGCTGGCCTTGTAATATATTTTATTCAAATGCAACGAGTTGTAGATTGTATTTATTCATTTTAATTTTTAATTAAATGCGTTTGTTATTATAAATTAATTAAATTACTAAAGTTTTATATACTTAAACGAATCCAGGACCTAACCTCTCCCTTTTTTCTGATTAGATTGCTAGAGGGAGAGCACCCTCCCGCCCTCTGTAGTGCACACCCCTGTCGGTGGGAAGCGAAGACTCCTGCTCCTTTTGCTTCTCCTTCTCCTTTTCATTTTCTTTTTGCTTTTGCTGCACTTGTTTATTATTGTTGTGCTGTTTTCTCTTTTTTTCACAACTCCCACACTCACAAAGCGAGAATATACATAAATACACAGCGGCTTACATACGTTTGCCTGCACATTCATAGCCGTTTCTTCTTCTGCTTCTTCTTCTTCACTCACTTCTTATTTCGCTCGTTTCTTTGCATGTTCTTGTTGCCTTTCTTCTTCTTTTTCCATCATGCAACAGAGAACTGCAAAAAAAAGAAAAAAAAAAAAGAATAAAACAAAAACAAAAAGAAGACAAATAAATAAAATTAAGAACGGAGCATATCGACTAGGGAGAGCGCCCTATAATTTCTAGTTCTAAAACGAGTTTACAACTTAACTTTAACTTACATATTTTTATATTTAAATTATTTATTTAAAATTTTTGTTTAGAAAAAATTGGAAGAACTTGGTATTGGTACTTTACCTTATTTCAAATTACAAATATTTTACTTATAATATTAATTTTGTACTAAAATTTAAAAGTTAACTATTTGGTTCGAAACTATTGTATTGAAAAAAGCTTAAAGGTTTTCAATGCGAAAGTAGGGTATTTGAGATTCGACTATCTGATATTCTTGCTGCTCACTTTCTTGTTTTCCTTTATATTTTATATATATATATAAATACATATATACGTATATATTTTGTTCTTCTTTTTCCATTAATATCTGCTCTGCTCGGGCTACGTCGACGTCGACGTCGTAGCTGGCGCTGCGCAGAGCAGCGCTTTTTGTGCGCTGTGTAAAGCGGAAAAAATTCATTTTCCGCTGACTCTTTCGGTGTGTTGGTGTGCGTGGCACGCAAAAAAAGCTAGCAAAAAAAAATAATTATAAATATTTTGAAAATATTTAGTATTTTAATTCGGTAAAGACGGCATACGCGCAATAAACAAACTGAATTCGCACGGGAATTTGCAATCCGTTCTCTTGGCCGCCAGATTGTTGAGCGTGAGTAGTGCCTCCCCGGATTCTTAATTCTATTTTGCTATTCTCCGCTCTTTCTTCAAAGACTCTCCCATATTCTTCAAAGCCATATCGTGTTAAGATAAATACATATATACAAAAATAGATTGTAATAGGACTTAAGTCCTTGCAAACTAGGAGTATGCCTGATAAGTATTAAAAATGCAGTGTTTCTAGAGCTTGTTTGGATAAAATACATCAAGATCTTGTATTATTTTTAAAGATAATACAACTAATTTGTTACTTTGTTAATTAAAATTGTGAAAAACTAAAAATAACGTATGTTTAAGTAAGTCTTTTTCATATAGTAAAGCCAAAATGGGCACTCAATGGGTTTTTAAGCTCCAAGAGCTTATTCTTTTATACCTTTCTCAGGCAAAAGTCCTTTTTTCTTCTGTTTTAAGCTGGTTTATTGGAAGATTTAGTTGTTACATGGCTCCTACAAGTCATCTTAGTTCCTATCCTTAATTCTAGTCATATTTTATATGGAAAAGGTTTACCATCACTAAAAGTTTGACACTTCTTCCCTAAGCCATTATTAATACTCCTTCTTTTTATCTTTTTTACAGGTGGATCTGATATTCAACGAGGAGGGCTCCTGCCCACTATGCAACAAGACTTTCTCGCGCAAATCCTCGCTCATGACGCACATACGGAATCACTCCGCGGAGCGTAAGTTTGTGTGCACCTATTGCCACAAAGGTGGGTTATCTTTACAACCTCTTTTATAATTTAAGGACAATATAATAATGCCTCCTTTTTCTCATTCTCCTTGCAGGCTTCACGCAGGCGGCCAATCTGCGGAACCACGAACGTATCCACACGAACGATCGTCCCTACCAGTGCGTGGACTGCGGCAAGACCTTTACCCAGATCACCAACCTGAACAATCATCGGCGTCTGCACACCGGCGAGCGTCCTTTTGTTTGCAATGAACCAGAGTGTGGTCGCAGCTTTGCTCAGGTTAGTCAGCCAACGCCTTAGGTCCTTCTTTAATCTCATATTAAACCAAATCCATTCCTCATTGTCACACAGGTGACGAACCTGAACAACCACATGAAGTCGCACCACAAAGTGCAGCAATATTGCTGCAACGTTTGCAACAAGAAGTTCACTCAGGTGACCTCCCTCAATCAGCATTTGCAGGCGCATGCCGGCGTCACCGGCTACTATTGTCCACGCTGTCCGGAGAAGAACTTTAAGCTGCAATCGCAGCTTCATACGCACATGAAGACGCACGGTTTGGCCTTTCCGTACGAGTGCGGCAAGTGCGATGAGAAGTTCCTGCAGCAGGCGCATTTGGATCAGCACTTAAAGATGCACGATGAGTTCAAGTTCAAGTGCGACATTTGCCCGAGCAGCTTCAATCAGGAGTCGCTGCTAAAGAAGCATGTGCAGCGGCATGTCGAGGGTCGTTATCTCTCCTGCCCGGTGGCCAATTGTGCCGAATCGTTTGCCGTGCGCCAGCATCTGTCCAAGCACCTGTTAACCAGCCACTCGCACCATGAACTGCCGCCACCGAAGCGCTCCAAGAAGACCGGACATATGCAGTCGGGACAGCAGCAGCCGCTGGCGATGATTGGTCAGCCGTTATCGCTGCAGCATACGACGGGGCAGCGTAAGTCTTAGCTTTTGGCATTCCCACAAAGATCCTTTAACTAATTGAGTTTCGTTTTGATATGTGCTACAGGTGGACGACCGCCGAAGAACAAGAACAAGGCTACCTTGGCCGCCACGGCCATTAAGATTGAGATCAATGAGCCGCTCCACAGCCAGCATATCAGCAGTGCCAGCGGCCTGTCCATTCAGCAGCAGATTAACCAGCACATGCAGCAGCAGCAGCAGCAGCAGCAACAACAGCAGCAACAACAGCAGCAGCAACAGCAGCAGCAGCAGCATCTCCATCTGCCGATGGGTCAGGCGGTCAAGGCGCGCTTCATACCCACTAAGTAGAGTAGGTTAGCAAGGAAAGAAAGTATGGAAAGTAAGGAAGAAAACGAAAGAAGGTCTCTCTAAGCTTAAGCCCACAATCGATCAGTTGCTAAAAGAAAAAAATAACAGAAAACAACCCTGATTAGCCCTAGCGCCATAGCCAAAGTAGCATCACATACCCACAGTTTCCCCACAATCAATCTTGAGAACTTGAAACATATTCCAGGAGTTATCAATCTTTAGGTTTCTTTCATAATTTTATATTTTTGTAACACGTTCTGAAGGCGTTCAAAACTTTTATTTTTTGTACTCTTTTTTTTCCACTTTTTTTTGTGTACAAAATTGCTTAGCAGCCAACGAAAATGGAGATTTTATGAAATCATATGTTCTGTTCAGCGAGTCTAGAGTCGGCGGCAAGCTGCTGGTTCAGTTTGGTGTCTGGTCTCCTGCCTCCCTGGTTCCCATTGCCGCCAATGAACCCTCAACAGTAGTGCTCCTCCCCCCCCTTTAACCAGCAATATTTCAATTTTATGCACCTCCTAAAACACATCTTTATATATACATATATATATAAATATATATATATATACATACATGGATGAGCAGAAAGATCTGTAACTTAAATCGAATCAACACACCCTTTTTTAATGTCAACGCAAAGATGGAAAAATTTAAATTTAAATACAAAAAAGAAATACCTACAATTACAAGTAAATATTAAATAACATTTAGAGAGAAAGGCAACAACAACAACAAAAAACATGAAGTAATACACATAAAATTGCTATTAAATTCGATATATATATGTATTTATGTTAAGCATTCTTAGCTTAAGTGTTTTTATTTTTTTTTTTTAATAAAAACCATTATGAGAAAAAAAAGAGAAAACAAAACAAACAAGTCGAAAGAAAACAGAAAACAAGCCTATTAATGGGAACCCATTATATATATGTATATTCTGCAAATGTATATATTTATATAATACATATATAAAGATAATATAAAAGATTATAAATGTACACATTGAGCTTAGGCTAAAAAACGGAGCAGAAGCAACGAGGCTAACAATGATAGAGACGCGAGAGCCTCAATTCGAGATGAGTATATTTGGCTCGATGGAGTGCAGGACATTGAATCCCTTGTGCAGGATGCAGGTGCGCTGAATGCCGCAGGCCACCAGGAAGTGAGAGAACTGCAAGGCAAAGTAATTAATAATTATATTTTATAGTTTATTCAGCAGAGAGTCCCACCTCCACGGAATGCTGATGAATATTGCTCACACAGACCACAATGCGACCCCGTAGTTGACCCTCCACATTGGGCACTGGCAAAGCCTCCAGTCGCTGATCACCCAGCTGAATGGTGGCAAAGGGTATATTGATGCTGTGTGGCACATGGACACGTCCATACTCCACCACGCTGCGTAGATCCACGAGAGCCAGCTCGGAGGGGAGTACAGAAGCAGGGCCTGCACATCCTTGGCGCTAATACGGGGACACTGCTCCTGCTGCAAGTGCTTCAGTTCCACATCCGTTATGCCAATGTCCTGGGAAATAATACAATGTAATCCTTTACTCTATAAAAATGTAAGGAGAAAACCCACCAGTGAGTGAGGCTGCTGGTGACGCAGGGCATGCTGTCGATGCGTTATGCTCTTGGGCGTCATCTCATACATCTTCTGGGACTCCAGGACACAGCCCTCCATCACTATGTCCGGCAGATCGGAGAAAAGCAGTATGCATTCATTAAAGCCCGAGGAGAGCAGGGTGCTGCGCAGCTGGCGAAGAATGGCAATGCCTATGAAGAGTGGATACGAGCTGTCGCCCAGCATTAGTTTGTCCCACAGATGCAGGATCTTGTGCAGCGGGAAAACATCTAAGGATAACCAAGATATACACTCAAATATCAAGATGTACGAAGCTAAACCTACGCGAGAACATGGTCAGGAACCAGGGAATGGCAAATAGCTCTGGTATAAAGCTTATGCTGGCCAAATGCTGTGCCAAAAGAGGCTCATGAAAGGCCGTCAGCTGTGAGAACTTGCTCAGATACTCCTTGATCACCGCCGAATTGTCCTTGAGGAAAAACCATTGCAGATACTTGGGTATAAACTTGAACAGACTGAGAAAAGCCAACTCTGGAAAGAGAATTCAAACGTTAACAAATACTTAAATGTAAAAAAGGATCAATCACGCACCTTCATTGTTAAAATTGAGAAACAAAAACGGCGCCGTCAGCGAGTCCAATCCCTGCCAGTACACATATTGCGGATGGGCGGTGACCCAGGCCTTGAGCAGGCGGCGCAGCTTGCGGTGGCCATCGGGTGAGGAGAGGAGCTCATCGTACTGATGGCATCGCGGTATATCCACTTCAATCTGTCGATCCGTGCTGGTGGCCGTGAACTTGTCGATCTTGTAGTAGCTACCATTGGGCACCACATCCAGCAGAGCTGCCCAAATGGGACCACGCAGCAGCGGGGGCACATCGACGGCCGCCTCACGACGCAGCTGCTCTGCCGTGTGCGGATAGCCCTGCAGGAGGCGTGTAAATAAACGGACGCGTTGGAACTGATATTCAATGTCTTTCTCGCGGATCACCAGAGGCAGAGCCTGCAACTCGCGTGCAAAGTGAGCGGGAAATCGCGGTGAATGGAGCAGCGGAAAGTAGACATCCGCTGGCAGGAGACTCAGTCGCTGCAGCAGAGCCTTTAGCCGCAACGGCACCACACGATCATCCATCAGTTGGGCTTGGCTGCGACCCGGACACACGCTTGCTCCGCTCAGGCGCACTATCTGCGGCAGACCTAGGATAGGAGCTTCGCTGCGGATGAGGCCTTCCTTCTTGAGCTCCGCCTGAACGTCGCCGCCGGCCAGCTGCCACAGGTGATAGATCTGGGACAGGGGGCAGCGCAAGAGCAGAGGTACATGCTCCTGGTTCTCCTGAGGCTGCTGTGGCTTCTGCTGCTGGTCCCGTTCCTTCATCAGCTCTGCAGCCACGCTCTCAAAGATGGGTTGCATCAGCAGTTGCTGTGGCAGCGGTCTTCTCTTGGGCAGCACCTGCAAGCAGCTTTCCAGCAACTGTCGCAGATTCCTATCCATCGTCGTAAGGCGCTCGTAGCACTGATGCTCTCGCGCAATCTTCTCCAGCACTCCATTGCTCCGGCCAAAAGCTAGAATCTTTCGAATCACATTCGAGAGTTTCAGTTTGGGCCAGAGCTGGATTTGGAACACCAACTCCACCACCAGCATGGCCAAAGCCCACACATCGCTCTTCACATTCCCGTTGAGTCCGAGGAGCCGCTCTGGTGCCATATACCGGATATTGCCAATGGGAAAGGGCACATAGCAGCCGCCCTTGGTCATGTGATGCAGGCCGTAGTTGAAGAGCTTCACGCGTCGTCCGTCATCAGAGATGAGAACATGCTTCGGCTCCAGATTGTGGGCCACTAGATGATGTTGACTCAGCACGCTAATGCCGCAGGCCACCTGATAGAAGATCCTCAGGATCTGGGCAAGTGACAATGGAGGATTCCGCTTGGCATAGTCCTCCAGCGAGAGACCCAGATACTCCGAGACCACAATGGTGCGTTCTGAAAGAAAGTTCTTAGAGATTAATAAGGGGCGTCGTGTGGAGTTTATGTGGCACTTTCGGAACAGATGAAAGACCCACCATGCTTGCCCCGTATCACGTCCAGATACTGACACAAATGCTCGTCCTGCAGCTCCTTGAGCTTCTGGGCCCTGCCCAGGATGGCAATTGAGTTGGGCGTAAGGGGCAGACCATTGCTGCCGCACACATCGCCCGGATGCAGTTTCGCAAAGAAGGTGACGGCGCACAGGCGGCGGCTCTCCTGCCTGCCAGCCATCCGTGGTCAGTCCTTGGTCCTTGTTCGATGCGGATGTGGGTGCGGGGCGTGGAGTTCTTAGGATTCACAGGAGGACATTAGAGAAAAGCAACAATTTCTTTTCTTTTTTTTTTGGCAGCGGACAGCGAATCAGCTGACAGCGTTGCCAGACCGAGCCGATCTGTGATACGCCCCCTAATAATATAATTAATTTAATAACAAAATAACGTAGCAGTAACATTAAAAAGGGTTATTTTATTTTAAAGATGTTACTAATAATGTTTTTGTATAATTATAATTCCTTTAATTGTAGTAATTTAAAAATAAAATGCAACAGTTGCAAAATCTAAGGCTCAAAGCCGGGCGGCTTTGTAGGCAGATCAGAAGACTTTTTCCAAAATATAAGAAACTTAAATTTTATTCTGGACACATATTAAAGACAGATTTTGATGTATTATAAATAAATGTTCTATTAATAATTTAATATGACAACTATTTTAACCAAAAATAAAAAAAATTCACATAGCAGTAACATAAAAAACGGTTAATTTATGTTAATGATGTTTCTATTAATGTGTTTTATAATTATAATTCCTTTAATTGTTGTTATTTAAAAATAAAATGCAACAGTTGCCAAATTTAAGGTTCAAAGCTGGGCGATGTTGTAGGCAGATCAGAAGACTTTTCCCAAAATATAAGAAACTTAAATTTAATTGTGGACATGTATAAGAACAGATATTGATGTATTATTATAGTTGTATTAATAATATTAATATGACAACTATTTCCGCCCAAGGATATAGCTCTAATTAATAAATTAAATAATTAATATTAACGCGAACAATCTGGCAACTCTAATCTTCCAATTGAAATCGAAAGCCTTCTTTGGCTCATTTTGCAACACTGCCCGCGCCCCCATCGGTTTGTTATTTGTTGTTGCTGGCACTACCGTCGCTTTTGCCGTTGTTGTTGCTAGTGCCACTTGCGATTTTGTTTTTTATTGCGCACTCGAAATTGTTTTGTTATTTAGAGCTCGGCGAAGCTTGTGCTAACCATAATAATGTCGGTAGCGATTTCAGCTTAGTTAGTCGCTCGCCGCATGCGTGTGTGTGCGGGCGTTGTGCATTTTCCTCGATTTTCCCCATTTAAGCGCGTCCGTATCTCTGTTTGTGTGTGTGTGTGTAAGGAGTGCATAACTGCAATTGCAATTTCTGTTGCATTTCTTAAGCAAATGTGATTTTATTGATCGCTTAAAAATGTCACTATTCGTGGAATACACAGAACCGCATTGGCGGAATCTGGATATGCGGGCGCTGTCCGTGGACGAGGCCTACCTGTACCTGGCGTCGCACTTCCCGGAGCGCACATACCTGTACACACTGTCCGACGAGTGCTACACGGTAATAAAATATGCCCATAATTAATTGTTACAGCCCATGGATGGTCGATGCGCAATCGGTTTCGCTTTCAATTCAGTCCAATTAGCTTAATTCGATTTTATGTCATTTTCTGAATTAAATTCCATTTCATTCGCAGTGCCCATACACCAAAGTGAAAGCTCTGCCCGCGGACGACGACGCCGAACCGTTACGTTTGAGCTCTGCATATGCGCTGAATTTCAAAATATTCGAACACGATCAGGGTCACTATGCCTACGACAATGTGTAGGTAGACACACAGACCCCACTGTGCGTGCACAGTGGTCACTCATTAGATTAAGCTTTTAGTTACTTTAAGAACTTGTTGTGGGAAAGGTGTTTCCCATAAACACCTGTAGTAACTACATCAGATATCTTTAAATTCGTTTAAACAGACTGTAAATATGATTTCTTTTATAAAACTGTAAGAGAACAGTGGGTTAAAATAATCCTCTTAATTAATCACAAACCCATTCTTTTTAGAGGGTAAATTCCAAGGGATAAGAAAGAATTATAGGTACTATATATGTATACACTTTAGCTACTCATGTTAATAAGTAAAGAACGTGACACTTGAAATTTCCCTAAGCTTAAACCACTTTAAAATGAAAACCATAAAAATTCAATGACCAAGATCAAGTAGTTAGTTTATAATCTAGAAACTCTTGTGTCGGTTTAAGGGAATACCCACTGTATGTTAACTAGTTTCAGCGAAAACAGCTTGACTAGGCAATTATACAAGTTCCTCCTCAAGTTTAATCGATTTCTCTGTTCTCCATTCTACATACGTTCTCGTTCTGGTTATGATTATGATTATGACTATATGACAGCTCCTCGCTGTGCTGGCTGCGTCGAACCGATCTGCAGGAGTTTGGTGTCTACAACCTGACCCTGGATGCCAATGGAACCTGCTCCTTTGCCGTGGACAAACCGGGCGTGCCCATTAATTACGGTGAGTGTGAGGTACTTCAGATAAATAATTACTGAGGCACTTGTACTTATCGTCGATTCAACCTCCCCTCCACAGCATTCCTGGCCGTCTTCGTTCTGGTTGCCGCCCTGCTAATCTTGCTGAAGCTTGCTAGCTGCGCCTGGCGGTGTTATCGCTATGATGAGGCCGCCGCTGCTGCGGACAGCATTGGAGCTGCTGCCACCAAGGCTACGCAGCGAAAGCGCCTGCGCAGCCTGGACACGTTTCGAGGGTAACCTATAACCACAAAAAACCCTACTTTATATGATTGATTTGTTAATATTTCCCTTACTTCAACAGCCTCTCCATTGTCCTAATGATCTTTGTGAATAGCGGTGGCGGTGGTTATACCTGGATTGAGCATGCTGCCTGGAACGGCCTGCATTTGGCCGACCTCGTCTTCCCCTCTTTCCTCTGGATCATGGGCGTTTGCATTCCACTTTCGGTCAAATCGCAGCTCTCCCGAGGCAGCAGCAAGTCGAGGATTTGCTTGCGCATTCTGTGGCGCTCCATTAAGCTATTTGCCATTGGCATCTGCCTCAATTCGATGAGCGGCACAAATCTAGAGCAGCTGCGTCTCATGGGCGTGCTGCAGCGCTTTGGAGTAGCATTCCTTGTGGTTGGAGTTCTTCACACGCTGTGCAGTCGCCGGGAGCCGATAAGTCCGCAAAGCTCTTGGCAACGGGCCGTACACGATGTCTGCCTCTTCAGTGGTGAGCTGGCGGTACTGCTGGCTCTGGTGGCCACCTATTTGGGGCTGACCTTTGGTCTACGCGTGCCTGGCTGTCCGCGTGGTTATCTGGGACCCGGTGGCAAGCACGATCACAATGCGAATCCCAATTGTATTGGCGGAGCAGCAGGCTATGTGGACCTCCAGGTGCTGGGACAGGCGCATATCTACCAGCATCCAACGGCCAAGTATGTCTACGACTCCACAGCCTTCGATCCGGAGGGTATTTTTGGTGAGTCTTCCGAGTATTTTTAAGAAGTAAAAGCAAGTAATTTAACCTTCTCCTTTGACAGGCTGCATTCTGAGCGTGGTGCAGGTGCTGCTGGGCGCCTTCGCTGGTCTGACCCTGCTGGTGCATCCCACCTGGCAGTCACGCATACGTCGCTGGCTGGTCCTTGCCATCCTGCTGGGCCTCATCGGTGGCGCTCTGTGCGGTTTCTCGCGAGAGGGTGGCGCCATTCCCGTGAACAAGAATCTCTGGTCGCTGTCCTTTGTCTGTGTCACCGCCAGCCTGGCCCTGGTGATCCTGGCCCTGCTCTACTACTTTGTAGATGTCCGGGAGACTTGGAGCTGGTCGGGCTATCCCTTTACCGAATGCGGCATGAACGCCATTGTGATGTATGTCGGCCATTCGGTGATGCATAAAATGCTACCTTGGCACTGGCGAATTGGACCGATGAACACACACTTTATGCTTCTGCTGGAGGCCACATGGAACACCCTGGTCTGGGTGGGCATAGCCCTGTATCTGGACGCCAGGGAGTTCTACTATAGCTTATAATCGAACAGACAAGCATATATGTATATCCATTTGCCAAATAATTTAGCCTTTTGTAAATACATTCATACATATATTGTGATTTCTACGGATATTTTACGAATTTTCCATCAAAGCACAAAACAACATACACAACACACAAATGAAACAAGAAATATTTAGTATTTGTAACTTAATTACGAATTTTTCGTTGTAAGTGAAAGTAAAATGTAATAAATAACAATTTTTAGAAATTGAAATTGTATTTCTTTTGGGATTTCAAAAATATGTGTAGTTATTTCTTTGTAAATGTTAAAAAACAATCTTTTTAAATTTATAAAACTTATATATTTCAGTTTTTATTATTTTAATAAATGTGTGTACTAATTTGTAGAAATCTTTGAATTGCATTTTTCATATTTTTAAAACTTTTAACCCCTTACATTTAAAAATTAAATTGAATTGCGAAATTTTTTCTTTTATTATTTATTGCTTCAGATTTTAATTCCAAATCAAAGTATATATGAGTTTTGGCCATCTTTTTCTATTCGGCCTTCGTATACCTTTAAGAAAACCTAAAATTAGGTATATTAATTCGATATTATTATTTGTTAATTTTTTGGGTAAATCAAAATTTTGTAAATATCATAACTGGGCCAAAAGTGCACTAATTTTAAATCGGAAAACGTTCCTATGTTAATTTTTATTAGCTTAAAAAATCTGCATACTCAGTTAAAAATGTAAAATGTTTTCCTATTTTTTTTTTAATGTTAACCCCTTTCTTTTTTGTCAAAATATTCAACGTTTTTGAAAAAAATTGTTTTTGCCTGGAAACAGCTAGAAAGATTCTCCTGTTTATGCTGATCAAGAATATATATGGTTTATAGGGTCGAAAGAAAGTCCCTCGCTTAGTTTAAAGCTTCTGACTAAAATTATATACCACTTTTTAATCGATTTTAGCTATATTTTAATATGACAATTTTCTTGACTAATCAAAACTTAAAAATCTCATAACTAAGGCAAAATGTCATTAATTTCAATTCGGAAAACTGTTCTATGCTAGTTTTTATTAGGTTAACAAATCTGCTTATCGAGTTTTTTAATTTAATCATTTTAATTTTTTGTCAAATTTGAAAATTTTAACGATGTAACCCCTTTTAAAAATTTAAAAAAAAATTCAAAAATTTTTTTCTTCCGAACATGACTAGATTGAACCGGCTGTTGATGCTGATCAAGAATATATATGATTTATAGGGCCGGAAATGACTCCTTCACATTCTTTTAAGCTTCCAACTGCAGGTGCAATACCATTCTTTAATCATCAAAATGTTAATAATTTGCAAAAGTATAAAAACTAAATGTATATAAATAAACATATAGGTTCTATATCTATATCTCCATATACGATTTTATTATTCAGGATTGTTGAAATAAAATGTATAAGTCATAAGCCACCTAGAATTTTAGCACAAATAGGCTCCTCGCAAATAATCTTTAGACGAGCTTGTCCAAAACACATAATTTGTGGTTGTATCCCCAAGAAATACAAATTCGGAAGCTCAAAGAGCCACTAAATGCCCACCAATTCTGTAAAACTTAAATTAAATAATAATTTCCCAAGCTTAAATTAAAAACGCATCACTCTTTTATTTTCAAAAATTTGACTTTTATTTAAATTTATAAAACATTGCTCTTTCAACACACAATTAATGGATTTTTCCTCTTTTTTTTTGTTATGTTTGTTTAGGCATTTTCCTAAGGCTACAATTTGTGTGTGTGTGGTGTGTTCCGGGATGGTTCCTTCGCTCCACCTGCCGCTGACCCCTGGCACTCCAACACCTGGCTGTGATCCGTGGATCGATATCGGTGCGGAGTGCAAGATCGAGCTATGTGTCGGGTGTGTGTTTAACTACAGACTACTAGGGCACTGCACTACTCTACACGTCCAACTACAGCGATTAATCGCGTTTAAAATGCTTTTCTTTGTCCTTTTCCTCGTTAAATCTGTTTCCGTTTTGTGTTTAGCCTGCTCGAGAATCGCAGAGGATTTTGGGAGATATATAGTAGATGATATATATATAAATGTATATAGATAGGAGTGCTGCGCTGCTTAGTGGCTACAACTAGACAAAAAACAAGTCATTAGGCTGGCTTAAATCGTATGTACATAAACTAATATCTAGGGTAAGGTTTTCGGTTTCTCAAAAGTTATATATATGTACGTATATATATTACTAAAATGATATGGAGAGCTGCTTCGGCTGAGTATTCGTACAAAAGTAATATTTTGTAGCAGAGTGTATATATAGATGTGTAAAAAATGGATGAAAAAATAAGGTAGCATTATGTACACTGTTCTTGCTTAGAATAAATACGTAAGGGAGCGGAGATTTATCAAGAAAAGTAAATTACAAACTACAATCGAAACAAAAAAAAAGCAAATAATAATAATAATAATAAACCAAAAGAGGGGGGTGTTTTGTGTGTGTTGTGTAAAGTAGTACATATTCAACAATTTTAGCAGGTGGGAAATCCCCTGTGATCCTGCTCCTTCTCTCCTCTTGGTTAACATTGCGAGACGCTAGGCTTCTCTTTCCCTCTCTCTTTCCTTTTCGTTTCATTCCTTCTTCCGTCTCTCTTTCACTCACTTCCTCTCTCTCTCTCTCTCTCTCTCTCTTAAACGATTTTGGCATCTGGAGGCGGTGGTGGCACCGTCTGGCCCACAAATTTGGCCGGTTTGAGCAGTATAAACTTGGGATTGGTCACCGCAACACCGGCGGCAGTCACCTTCTTGCCCACCACAGATGATGGCGTTATGGTCACTGTGCTTGGAGCAATCGCATTCATTGCCGCCGTCTGATTGCTGGCAGCCAACGAGGAGGCAGGCAGAATGGTAGTCACACCGTTCTCATGCTGAATGCTGCTGGCGCTGTTGAATATTGCACGCAATTTATTGCTATTCCCCTGAGATCCGCCACCAGGCACCACATTGATCTTGAGCGGAGGTGCCGCTCCTGTTCCTGCTGCTGCTTCGTTCGAAGGAATCACCGGCTGCTGTCGCTGCTGCACAATTCTGGCCGTAAACTCATTCCCGGCCAGCACCAGATTCTGCGATTGTCCTGAAATGGGCAAGCCGCTGGCCAGAATCAACTGCATGCCACCTGATGCAGCGCCTCGCAACTTCCACTCATCCTGCTGCAATAAAAACAACGGGTAAGTTCATCGTTTGAGATTGGAAAAACTATAAACTTACCGTTGGTGGACTGACAGATTTGCGCTCCAGCACATGTTCGTCGAAACCAGAGTCCGAGGAGTTGTCATTGAACTTGGTGGCCACCGAGGACGAGGTGGAGCAATTGGACGATGAGGAGGAGAACGAGGGCGAGGCGGCGCCCACAGATACTACTCCGGAAACGGATGCCGCTGATGTCTGAGTGGATTGCTGAGTGGCGGCGGCTGCTACTGCTCCTGTGGGCTTGAGAATCAGCGACAAATTGGAATGTTGCGGCTTCTGTGACGACGCCCCACCAGTGGGCGTATATAAATGGTGGCTGCTGTTTGCTTCAGTCTTGCTCAATGGAATTGGACTTATTCTATGGACGACATCCCCCTGTGGGAATGACTCCGATTGTCGCTTGAAGAACAGATGGTGCTTCTTGAGCGGCCCCATTTTGGCCGCCTGACTTTGAACTTGAGTGGTGGTGTTGGTGGTGGTAATGGTGGCCGGTGGGATGGTTGGATTCACAGCCGTCTCTACCAGCGTTTCCTTCTGCAACTGCTGCTGCTGAATTTCCTGCTGATGCTGCACCTGCAGCTGGTGTTGCTGCTGCCGTAGACGTTGATGCTTCTCACAGGGCTTATACAGCTCCGGATCAATGATGTAGCAACAGCTGCCAAGGGACAAGCTCTGGAAGACAACACCGCAGCAGACCTCCAAGCGCACGAGATCGCTCTCCTCGAAGAAGGGCACATTATCAACAGCCCGACGACCTTTCTTCGGTGGCAATTGGCGGCGTCGCTTGCTGCCCGTGAGCTTGGGACGTTTAACAATCTCGGCGGCATTGCCGTTAACAACGGCCAAGGCAGCGGCTGCCGTTCGCTTGCGCGTCTGATAAATGGCTGCCGTACCCACTCCATGGGTAGCGCCACCTCCACCTCCACCTCCGCCTCTTGCTAGCTGCATGTCGTCGTCGTAGCTCTCATTGGAATCGCTAGGATTGTGCTCTGAGGTGGGTGAGGTGCTGCTGGGTCGATTGATAACTGGTGCAGCTGCTGTTGTGCTCGCAGCGGATGCTGTGATCTTGCCCTTGCGATTCTTCTTAAAGATCTTGGCAAATTTCTCGGGCAGAAATGAGCTATTGTTGCCACTGCTCACGCTCTTGGCCTCCGCAGCGGCCGCTGCTTCGGCATTGTCGCGCTTCTTCTGCTTGGCCAGGGACTTGGTTCCGGGCCCAGCACGTGCATCCACAACCTGAGAAGAGCAATAAAGCAAGGTGATTAGTTGGATATTTTGATTTGATTTTAATAAATTTGATTTATACTTACATGACCCCAGTGACGCTTGCTGCCCACCGGCAATCGCTTGTAGCGCTTTACCAGGAGCACGCAGGCATTACAGATCTCGCCGTTGCGCGGCTCGTGGAGATTGAAGCACTGCATCGATTCCTTCTCGTACTTGCGAGAGGCCGTGAAGCGGGAGCTGCTTGACTTGGCACGGCAAATGCAGCAGCCATCGGCTGAGCGGTAGACGCGTGGTTTGTGGAAGTTGAACATGATTGAATGAACTTGATTTGTCTTCGGTTTTTTTTTTTTTTTTGTTTTGTTTTAAATGTTTCTTTTGTTTAGCGTTTTGTTGTTTGTTTTCTCACTTCTTTGACGGTTAAAGAGGATTTTGGTTTTGTAGAGCAACTAAAAGCGAGTGACTTGAACTGATTTGTCTTTTCGAGTGTTTCGTGTGTGTTTTGGTGCTGTGTTGGTGACGGTGTTTCACTGTGGCTACTTTTTTGTGCTAGTGTTATTTGTGCGCGGCCATTATTCCGTTTGTTGTACTGATCGCTTGCATTGCCAACTTCCATTGCCCGGGCTTCACTGTAATTGACTGCATTTGGTAATGGCGGCGGCGACGCTGCTTCTGCTGCTGCAACAAATAAACAAAAATATTCAAGTTAGTTGAGGCGGAAACAGGGACAGCTGGATAAAAAGACAGTGTTGATAAGCGGTCGGTTCTTACAAGTGCTTATAGCAAATAACTGTAGGGCAAACAAACTATAGGTATTAAATAAACAAATACACTTTGTTTAAATTACAGCTACGGAAATTTAATTTAAAATGTAAAATTACACATTATTTTAAGATGGCTGCTAAAATGGTATACATTTTCGCCGGCTGCACAGCTGATTTGGCTTGTCTAGTGTTGGTAAGTGCTGCTCTGTTTTTACACCAGAAAATGCAAGCCACAAAATAATTTCAATAACTTGCATTTTTCTGAACCAAACTAATACAACTTTAAACAAATATGGTTGGCAATTTCCATATCAAATTATTAGCAAACGAAAGCCATACGTCGATTATCTATACTTAATGTCTTATTCTGCCATTCAGAACAAAGGGGATAAAAAACCACAACAGCGATAGCAAGTTTTTAAATTTTCGCCACATTAACCACTGAAATGCTTAAAATATCTTATCAGGCACGCCGCAAGCAACAGCAGCAGCAGCAAGTGGTGTATATTATTTCCAGGGCAGTGTTAATTCAATTTAGCAAAACATGTTTTAAATACAAGCAAGCAGCAAAAAAAAAAACAAAAACAACACTGAGCGAGCCAGATGAATGGGAATGGGAGGGAGTGAGCGAGATAGCCAGCTAAGCCACGCGCGAGCCTCACAACTACACACACACATGTACGCAAAGCGAGTGCAACTTTTTTGTTGTTAACGTGTGTTATTTCATTTTTTTTTTGGGGACGCGAAAAAGGGACACAACTACACGTAAAAGCGCGCGCTCTCGTTGCATTTACTTCGACTCCCTCTGTCTGAGCAGCAAAAACAACAAAAGCAATATGCTTGGGTGGAAAAAGAGAGCGCCAGCGAGTGACGTGACTTTTGAAACGGCTTGCGCCTCTTCTGCTTCTTCCAGGTGCGTTGTTCCTTTTGTTGTCATTGCCTTAATTTCGTCGTTTTGATTTTACTTAATTTGTGTTGTTTTTGGGGACACTGAGTTTTTTCAAGTTGAAAGTGTCTGACTGCGAATGTACGAGATTTTATGCACCGGCTGTGTGTCTGAATGTGTATTGCCTCATTTTTTGAGGTGAAAATGCGGCTAAAAACTAGGGCCTTCAACTGTCTTTCTAACGCCGTCTTGCGGCGTTGTTTATTCGATCAACACAGCTGCCACGAAATCATTGAAACTTTACCTTCTTAAACACGCACACCGTTCGTTTCGAATTAAAATGTATTCAATATATTTAACAAGCACTCTTTTCAGTTTCTTTTCTACTTTTTTGAATTGGGAAAGCTACGAGGCGGAGAGCTCGAGGAAAAACGCGTCTGCACGGAAGAAACACAAAGGCGAATTGACGAAACTGACGAAAATCGACGCATGTACGAAATGTGTACAAAGCGAATGCAATGATAACGCAGGCGAGCAGCTGAGCGCGTTCTCCCGCTCTCTCTGTGCTCGTGCCATCCCGCTCGCTCTGCCGCCATCTATGCTAATGCTGCTGTTGCGTGTGTGTACGTGAGAATGCGCGCAGCAAAGCAACAGCGAAAAATTCCGGTTGTGAAAAAAAAAACACTCGACACACACGAGCTGAGTGAGTACTTTACAACAGATACAGATAGAGTGCAAAGAGAGAGGGAGAAAGAGAGAACAGGGTAGAGAGGGAGTCAATGTAAATGGGCGAAAAGGAGAGAACAATTTGCATAACATTCAGGCCGGCAGGGTTGCCACCTGACAACAACAACAACAAGAACAACAAAGAAAAGTAGCAGCGAATGCGAATGAATGCAAATGGCTCTTTTGTTGTTGATATTCTTTGTTTGCTCGCGCTTCTGTTGCTGATAAAAGAAGCGCAGAAAACGTGCAGCAGCGATAAAGCGAGCGAAGCGCAGCTGCTCAAAGGGGCATTGTAGCTTTTCACAGCTAATTATAGAATTTAATATATTGCAGCACCCACGCTCGCCTTATTATTCGTGTCCAGCCCCCGCCCCCTCTTATGATTTTACGGGTACGTGACTAGCTACGCATCAACATAGGTCACTGGCGGGTCCCAAAAAGGTGGCAGCTCCGCCAGCTGCTTACAGCGCACCATTTTACAACACTGTAATGTTCTGGTTTCGGGTGCATTCTGCTTCTTCTTGTTGTTTTCCAGTGGAGCGAAAGTGGCCGAAAAAAAAAAACCGAAAAATCCAGGCATAACATGTTTTGGCGTACGTGCCGAACCACAAAAAGAAATACCACCGAAAATTAAACTAGGTCGCTCCACTTTACATGTTGTGCTTGCAATCAAAACAAATTGCAAGCCGCAAATATATAAAGTATGTACGTGTGTGCCTGTGAGAGCGACGCCTGCGGTGGTAATGCGTCTTCTCCACATTTTCCTTCTTGCAAAATAACAAACTGTACTTGTGCAAAAGAGAACTTTTGCGTGGGAGAGCGAGCAACAGATAAAGGGGGAGGCAAAACGATAGAGGCATAGCGGGGGTCGAGCTAGGCGATGAAATGTTGTTTTTGTTAAGGAAAGTGAAAGACTCTGATTGGAATTCTCATAAGAATGTGTGAAAACAACGAAAACAGGTTGCCGGACCGCAATAACGGTAATACAATCCGTTCTCACACACACACATAGGCACTAAACGTAATAGTATGAAACAACAACAACAGCCGGTTGCCCCGAAAAGGCAAGAAAAAGAAAGTAAAACCTACAAAAAAAAATACGAATGTATATTCAGGAGAGTGAGAGAGAGCGCCCACCTGCAGAAGAAGAGCGAGCCAGAGAGAGGGAGAGCAGAGCGTAGTGTTGTTAAGTAATAGATTACATTGTTGTATGGTTGTGTTTTGCAGAGAAAGCGCGCGCAAAAAGACGAGTAAAATGGATATACCAGTGTGTGTGTGTGCCACTTCTTTTACTTTCCTCATTTTTTTTTTGTTTTATCTCATTTCCGCACAATTGCCAGGCATTTTCGTTGTGACATTGGAAGAGTTCAAGCGCCGTGTCTTCAACTGATAGATACAGATACAGATACGCCGTGTTTTTTTTTCGATTAGCGAAGGTCAACAACAAGTCCAATTGTTGTTAAAACCATAGCGCACGCATACACACACTAACCAGCAGGCACACACACGGATACATTCTCTTCGCGACAACAACTTGTTGTCATGTGTTTTATTCAGCACGATTTGCTCTAAATGTTCGTTGTTTTTTGATTAATTTTCATCTTTACCTTTCGCTTTAGCTCGTTCACTGTGTTTTTTTTTCACTCAACTTTACTTCTTACTTTCGGTGTTTGCTCGAGTATCTTTTGTGCTACGCAGATTCAGATTTTTCGGCATTCGGTTTGGCGTTTGTCAACACTGGCATTCGGTGTTGACACCTAGTCAGTGGCGGCAGTGAAGCTATTTTTATAGCTGCTATTCAAATTGCAATGCTTTTAGCTAAATTTGGCTACTTTTGGCATTTCCTCAATTTTTACTAAATTCTTAACACAAATTTTTACTTTTGGGCAGAATAGTAAAATATTCCTTATATTCTGTTGTTTCACTAGCGAATAATCTCCATTTATAATCGTTATACATTGATTTAATGTCGGTAAATATGTTAGCCATTTTGTAAATTTATTTTTGCCCTTGCAAAATAATATACATTATACAGATTTATTTAGTTTAAAAGTGAAATATAAAAGATTTTAGAACCAAAATTATTGCAAAATATACCTTACCCAATAAAAACCAACACGCTAAAATATAATGCATTTTTGTTTGGGTTATCATTATATATAAATATATATGATATAAATCGTAAATATTCTTGATCAGCATCAACAGGTCCTTATTTACATACTTATTTGTTTAATTTTTATTCAGCAATTTATTGCTATGTTTCGTGATACTTTATAAGTTAATTTATCAAGCAAGCCAGGCGGCAGCCAAGTTTTTTACATCTTCAAGATTTAAATCTTTTCCTAAGTGTGACCAATTGCCGTGTCGGAGAATTCTGTTAATTTACGTTCTTTCGGTCTGGATGAGAGCAGATCTGTTATGTATCTGTAAACATGTAGAGTGGGTTTATGGATGTGGAGAAGTCAAATGTTAAGTAACAGCTGCGGGATTTCGAGTGACAAAAACAGAAATATTAAAAAATATAATACAAGTTCTGTTAATTAACATTCGCTCGACAGCACCCGAGAGAGAATAGAGTGGCTATGTTATGAGATTTCGACCCCATGTGTCTGTAAACGTGTAAAATGGTTGTAAAAATGTTAAATGTTAATAACAGCTCAGGAACTCAGAGTGACCAAAAGAAAAATACCTAAAAAGGTAGCATCACGGTATTTGGGTAAACAAAAATATAATGATACAGTCACACTACAAATTGTTATTAACAAAAATTTTTTCGACGAGTCGGTTGTGTTGCGGTAAAAATTCGCGTAAATTTTGTTGATAAAATTAAACGAGTGTTATTTAGTTGTACTCTGGCTTATACCGGCAATGCACCGATATTTGTTATACCTGTGTTTTGGCTAGTGCAATATAAGACAAGAGAAGCGCATTCCAATTCATTAAATGTTGATATTTAGTTATTAAAGTGCAAGGGCGCCAATTTCGGTGAAAGATAGTGCATTTGCCACAGCCTCTGTCGACGTCGCCGCCTTTTGTTGCTGTTTTTAACGTGTGCTGTCGGCCAGCAACAAGTTTTAATTTTTTTTCGTATGAATCGAGAGTCAAATCGCAAAAACTCAATTCATCACCTTCGGACCTATAACGGTTAATATTTTAGGTGTGTGATTTTTGTCCCGTTTCTTTCGCTGTGTGCGTGTGTCTGTGTTTTTTTTTCTAGTGCTTGCAGCGCTGCCGCGCTACAAAATTCGGTTTTTGAAGTTTTATTTTATTTTCTCTCGTTTACTTTTCCTGTTTTTCGTACTAAAGCCATTTTAAATGAAACGTGACTAGTTTGTTTAATTGGTGCAACAAAAACAAGAACAAGGAGGAGACGGCAAGAAGAACGAGAAGCAGCAGCATAAGAGAAGAGGACCAAAAAGAGCAACAGTCAAGTGAATTTTTTTTTTTTTTTTTTGTGTTTTCTCGTGGATGACGTCGCCGCCGACGCTGTTGCGCCGCCGCATTTAGTTTTGTCGCTTGTGTGGGCCAGTGTGTGTGTCGGAATTTGTGTTTGTGTGTGGGAGAGTGGAGAGTAGAGAGAGAGAGAGAGACTGAAGGGCGGAATAGGAGAAGAGCAGACGAGTGCGGTGATGGTGTAGAAAAGTAAAGTAAATGCGTGTGCAATTAGCATTTAATGTAATCACCATTAACCTCCCGCTATTGTCATTTACTTGGCTCGTTTTTTTTGTTGTTCACACACACGCAGGCGCGCGAATAGTGGTTGTGCAAAATAAGTGCAAAAACACTACAGGCGGCAACAACAATTGTCTGGTAATTGCGGGATATTTCGTAATGCAGCAACAAAAACAGCGGTAGCGAGCAGCAATTCCACCACAGTGGTAACTCGATAGGTAAAATGTGTATATATAACATTTTAATGCTTCAATTATTTATTGGTAATCGATTCCAGTTAGCTTAAATAGTTTTTTGTTTTCTTAATCTCTGTTTCAGTATTTTTATTTATAGCTAGTATTCCCTGTTAGTGTTTCTTTTATCGGCAGACCACTGTACGTGTAGTAAAGCGCCGTTACAGCCATCATGTGTGTGTGTGCATCAGCCGACCTGCATTGCTTGCCCGTTTTCGTTCACTATGAGACACACACACACACAGAGCCACGCACTTGTGCGTGGTTCATATCTTTCCCTACCTCTCTCTCTCTCTCTTTCGCTTCCTCTTCTTGAAGACAGATTGCGCAGAAGCAGCGACGTCGACCAGCGGCAGAGGCTCGGCATGGCTTTGGTTTTGTCTCATTTGCTTTCCACCTGCAATAAAGCAGCAGCGCTTTCGCTTGTACTTCTACTACTACTACTTTTTGTAGTTGAAAAGGTGTGTGCGTGTGTGTGCCGTTATAGATTTGGAACCGGCGATCGTAAATGAAAATGGAATTAAAAAACAATTACAACAGGCCGCCTAATCTCTATCTCACTTTTTCACTCATCCATTCTGTCTTCTCTCCCTCCCCCCTCATTTTCGCTGTTATTTAGAGTGCCAACACCAGCCGTAAAACAAGTGCAATATTAATTAAGTAATGACTGATCGAGTGATATTGTATATGTAATAAGCATATACGAAAAGCGTGCATATATGCATATGTACATATGTATACACACAAAGAAAATGCACAGACAAATGACCATGTTATAACAATTAAAAATAAAACGCAAAAGCCACAAAAAATCCCACAACATCTGCGAAACCTTCGG